CGAAATCTCAAAACACTCGAAGTGAGTAGTGCGGAGGTGCTGAATATCGACAATGTCAACTTTCCACCGTCTCTCCGTCTGCGCTTCCTTTCTCTGGCAGGAGTTTCTGTGTCAGCAGATAAGCTTGTTTCACTTGTTCACCAATCCATGGATTATATTAGACATATTTCCTTCCATGAGGTGCAATTGAATTCTGAAACTTGGGAAGATGTTATATGGAGACTCACATGTGTGTCGCCGCACCTTATTGATATTTATATTCAGCTTTGCGGATACTCAATCACTGGGTTGAGCTCGGCCTTCCATGAAAGGCCTGACCTTGGAAAAATGGCGTGGTCCGAGGGTTTTCTCCCCCATTTTGAGACAAACCATCATCGTGATTTGTTAGCGCTTGGTCATTTGCAACGAGAAGTTAATTTAAGAAGAGATGTGGTGGGATTAGAACCTTTCTCTGTTTCGGAGTATCAATATCTGGGTTTGGAACTTGAAGCCTAGACTTGAGTGCTGCTACTTGGACCATTTTACTTCTTAAGATAATTCAAATACAAATTTAGATGCATCTCTTTCATATAGGAGCCTACTGGTAGAAATTTGCGACCTCTTGCTGACCGTTTTAGGCTCCGCCTTTGACTAGCAGACTAGTAGCTACCTAAATGGAATAGATTGGTCTATTTATTATAATTTAGGTAGCTACTAATTGTCTACTCTTCAAGGGTAGTCAATGATAGTGGGTCATAGGGGGTTGCAGAATTAAGTTATGCCACTTCATATCCAAATTTTTATAGGAAATTGGATATATTAACCTGAATTCAGAAGCACCATGGTGCGTTTAGCAAAAGGGGTGGCCCAAATAGCAGCCCTCTAGACTTGAAGCTCGATGCCTGACCATTTGTACCCAAGCAAGGCATTTTTATTGTGCGAATGAATATGCAAAAGATGTTTACCGTGAATTAGAACAAGTGCACACAATGCTAATTGTCTCCATCCACGTTTTGCGGAAACGTGAACCGCCTTGACGCAAATAACCAATGCACCCCATTGGATACTTCAGGTTAACCTCGGAAGGCATTTGTCCGCTCTGGAGAAAGTTAGGAAGCTACGACCAGACTGTTTACTTTACTCTTGCCTTCCCAACTTCCTTCCTTGTTGATACGCGGTTGCCACAGCTACTGTGTTGTGCCTTCCGTCTCTAGATAGTAAGCAACTCTGCTCTCTCCTCCTTCTGTTATTCTTTTCTTCTCTTCTTCTCTCTAATCCGATCACCATTTCCATGCCCTCTCTCCTTGGAATAGCAGCTAGAAGGCCCTACCTTACACCGGACGGAGACAACGCTAACGTGAATGTCTGCTCGATTCAATGCGCCGTTCAAGCACCAATATCCATGAAGCATCCGTCAGTACCGACCAAGCTCGAAATCCGAAGGCCACCGAATTTCACATCGTCTAAATTGATTTCCTGGGACGCTTAACTGTCGAGGAATTTACAAGGGAAAATTGCCCAGATTCTAGCTAGAACGCATCCTTCCAATACGAAAGAGATCAAAAATGGCCGAGAGCCATGATCGAAACAGGGTGGTCCGAATCCATGGCCCAAGGAAATCGCGCAAGCTCTCCGGGAACACTATGAAACACGATTTACTCGACAAGTATTCTTCCTCTACTGCTTCGAAACCAACACATGCAGCTCCTCGTCAGGATGGCGAATGAAGAGCATACGCAACTAGAAGCTGGATGTAGGAAATCTCCCGCGAAATCCAAAACGATTGATTTATTCTGGCCTCTCCGAAATGGAGCAAGAAACTCCTCAACGTTAGCCAAAGGGGGAAAATCAATGTCCAGCAATGGATCTCGACCAAACAGCGAACTCATGGTGCTTCTGTCAAGTCTATCCAAACAATTTGCATCAGACGAATGGTAGCAGACCAGTTAAGCATCTCGGGCTGAATCGATATCCAATTCGAAGACTGTTTCCTTCGCACAACGAGTCGGACTCCATTCTGTCAATCGAGGATCTCCGGCAAATTGCAGATTCGATGGACTCCATATGGTTATCAATTCTTGCTGCTTTGATTCCAACATTATTCAACGCAACCCAGAACTCTATATTAAGATCGTCACTTGGAAGCTCAGAAATGTCGGTATCATTCTCCGAAAGGCGGTGGAAACGGTCCTTTCCAGACATTGCCCTCGGGGGATCAAGCATGCGAGACTTGACTGCTAGTCCAGAAACATACAGCAGCAGCTACGAATGTCAGGCCGGCTTACCAACTGCGTGCACCGGGGGGTTAGCTTCAATTCCCTGAATAACGGGAGGCTAATTTTGGAGAAAGAACTGGGCCATGGGCCTACTGAAATGCAATCACTACCGCAACGTCTGGCTCCGCTCTTGAAGGCTTTTCTGCTAGCCAAAGCGAGCATCAATGAATGCCAGCTGAGCCGTTCTTCGTTCTTAACGTCTGGCTTTTGGGCGTCATAACAATCGGCGTGTGCAAGAGGATCGGCAGGCACATTACTATCAAGAAACAACATGTTCCTATCCCCAGTTCACAAGTATACGAGAACTGGTTACCCACTATGCGTTAGACAGTGGGACCTGGAAACAAAAGCCAAACCCCGCGCACACCGTGTCCCGATGGATCCCCTTCTCGTCGTCGAATGTCATGGTTCCCAACATACATGAACCATATACTGTGCGGAAAGTATTTGAAAGCTATGGGATGGATCCAAGCAAAGCAAGGGAGATGACCGAAAGTCTTCCGAGTCGGCGACGTGATCGCCCCATTGGCGGCAGTCGAGGACACAAGGCGAACGCCCTGTACGTTCGCACGAGGCAAAACATTAAGCCGTAAAGAACATATCCTCCAGCCACTGTCGAGGATCTGCTAGAAGAAAATGGGTAGCATGGGCACTGGACGATGTGTAGGATATAAATTGCTCGTTGGCCAGAGGGGCCTTTGAGAGGGCGGAAGCCAATCGATCGCTAACTGTGCCACCATGTTGGTTGGAGTGGACTATGTTTCTTCGCCAGGTGATCACAGTGCCTGGTTCTCTTTCTCTCATCCCAGGGCATCATATTTGTGGCGATTCAAAAAAGCAATTCAGTGCAGCATTCAGGGGGCTGCGAAACATGCCCTTATTTGCAGCCGCCCTGCTCGGGCTGCCTGTCATGGGCAAGACGTACTGGAGCGGAAGAGCTATCCTTCCATTCCCATAGGAACACAAGCAGGAGCTGAATACATCCTACCTAATCTATAATGTCGCCACCGGGGCACGAATGAACAAGCTGATAAGGTTGGAGCAGAGATCGATAAGGTCCTGGACAAAAGTCTCCGACCCCAGGAAACAAGGCATCCACAGCCGTTTGTTTGCTTCCCTGGCACGTTGAGAATAATCTCGCGAAGAAGACTCTGGAAAAGTCTCGCGAATCAAGTCTTCGAAAAGCAGAGGCGGATGTATATTACCCGATTCAGGTCGTGATCGAGCCGACAAGCAGGATCGGCGCGAACGAACAAAATATTAAATTCGAGGAATTTATCCTTCAGTATCGCAACTGCACTATGGGTTAGCTCCCATAAGCAACATTTGGTCGTTCTTGAGGTCGGTGTCTCCGAACCCCAGAGTAAGTTACCCCGGAATATGGGTCTCTGTCTCAACCCAAACCATGGGAATGCGAACATCGCCATTGCGATCAAGCTGAATTGCAAATGATCTATAACAAATATCGACAAATGGATGTGGAATCCCATCAGCGGGAAAGCAGTTCAACGCAGCACATAGCTGGCCCACGATATGCCCAGTCAGAAGCATTCTATCGACCGATTCTACCATTGAAGAATGCTGTTGGTCGATTCCAAAAGGCCGAGGAGCCAATGTCACGACCTCGGGACTAGCCCAGAATCGGGAGGAAGAGGTTCTAGCGAGTTGAGAAAGTGTTCTGTAACGACTAGGTTACAGGTTTTTGGAGTTCTCTCTTCTCTATCTTCTTCACAGATACAGTAACACTATGGGAGGCTACTTCCCTTTTGGGCTTAGCGTGGTCCTAGCAGCCTATCTGCGAGGCCTCACCCACTCTTTTCATCTCTTCTTCACACTTAGTATCGCGTACTCAATGCACTTGTTCCTTGCAACCTGGCCTCTATTACAAATACTAACATAGTCCAGTACACCTCGTAAGCCAACCTTTCGCTTACTCCTTGGATAGGTGGTGGCAACGATCTAGATGATTGAGAATTCTAATTCCAAGCTCAATGCATCAAGACTCACTGATGACTTTCGGTTCGTCTGCAAATACTTTCGGGGAAAGTTTCCACTGGATCTATATCAAGTATTCTTCCAGGAGACCAGAAGATAGAAATCTTCTTGAAGATCGAAGAAAAAAAAGAGAGCAGGGAAACTTGAGAGTCGAAACTTTGATCTGTTTAAATATTACTCCAGGACACGATGGGTGTACCGATAGAGAAATGGACAATCGCCCAAAAGAACCTGCTTACTGCACATCCAGTCCTATGAGATGCTCAAAAATAATTTTCTTCTTACACGCTGGTTGCTCATGTATTCTCGCGCAACGTCTTAATATCGAATCCTTTGACCATACTTCCAGTTCGTCCCATGCTATCTAACAGAGAGAATAAACTGCCACCATGATAGTAAAGAAAAACAGGCCAGTCGGGTCTCACTGGCACCCGTGGACTCTATAGCGCATTCAGTGGTAGAGTTTGTAATGTAAACTGAAATCTAATTTTAAGACATTAAAATTATGATCTTTCAAGGTTTGACTTTGTTAATTCCAAGGGTTATGCCCAGTTGGTCACCTTAAGGATAATAGTATATACTAGTATTTGACACGAGGGGTACTGGAACTGCTACTGGTAAATACTAGTAGCACTGCCCTCCAGGACAAGTAAGTACCTTCGCAAAATTCTCCATTCTCAAAAATTATCACGGTGTGACCCCTGAGAGTGCTCGAGTCTACACTTGAAACTGTTTTCGTCGAATCATAGGCTATTCGTCACTGGCATCATAGTCTTCATATTCAAATATCCCGGGCTCGGAGGCCACCGGACGAGCCGGAATCCAGGTTCGCGGCTTATGGTAATGAGCATATGTAGACTCTGTGACTATAGCATTGCAGGGAATTGGTTGGAGGTCGGGAATTGGAGACATTCGTGTCGGTTCAGGTTCAGGTTGATATGTGTGGTAGGGTTGCTGGTGGAAATTCGCCGATTCAGCAAGGATCGAAGGATCACCAGCGATTTGATGCAACGATTGCAGGTTTTGAAATGAAAAGTAGGCCGGATGGCTTAGATCTACCATGCGCAGAATCTGCGCAAGGTGCCGACTCATGATAGTCTCGAGTTCTTCTTGGTGTGGTGGTAGTGGGGCCAACGGAGTTCCATCAGGAATTGTGGTCGAGGGCAGGAGATCGGATGAATTTTGTAAATCGTGGCCGTGTCTTTCTATATCAGCTGCTGATATTCGGACAGGGAAGCATAGTGGTTGAAGACGGTCAAGCTGTGAGGGAAAGGCGGTAAGCTATATGATCTCGCATATTATGGTAATGCAGTAAGAGATAAAGTGAGATTACATACCAGTTCTTTACACGATGACCAATAAGATTGGAGGTGCTGCAGCACAAGAAGGCTGGATAGGGCTCGTTTCCTCAATAAAGCCAATGCAGGTGGGCTAGCATAAGGGGAATTTCCGGTAGATCCCTGAAACAGCTTTAAAGAAGCCAAGTGGATGGACGCTGTCAAAAAAGCACAATATGCAATGAAAGGCGGGTTTGCCGAGGCGTTGGACGGAGCAAGAGACATAAAGCTGGTAGCGACATCTGCAAAATAATTCAAATGGGACATCGAGACCCGGGCGCATAAGTTGACGTAATCAGGGGGTGCTGAAGCATTTTGTCGTAGGAACATGAACATGGAAAGATGGAGCAGGGCTCGACACTGGTGGTAGACTGCGTGAAGCGATAGTAATAGTTCTGGGGCCTCGCCAGAGTCACAGAGGCTATCTCCATACAGGTTTCGTAGTTTGGCGGGGAAGGATGAATAGCAGGAGATGATTTTACTGTCCAGCGCAAAGAGAGCTGCCCACCTCCCAGTCAGGGCCACCTCGGGTGCAAGATTGTAAATAAACCGGAGATTTCGGATGAACGCTCTAGCCTCCCGCCTAGTAGAATTATTGAGTATGGTTCAAAATCCTCAGATAACCCGTGAAAAGAACATACCAGAGGCCCAATGCCTTGAACAGGGCTTCCTGCCCAGGAGTTGGCCGTGTCTCCGATGAGACGGACAATGTGTTATCAACACCCTTGGCGATATACCTGCTGTAGGGTTGGGTAATATCAGATATATCCATATCCTGATTTGAGTTTGCGAAACTATCATCAAGCACGAAACATCGACATATTGTGTCGGCCCAGAAACAAGACCATCGCAGATCACGAGATTGAGTTTTTGGCAGATGTGAACTTTGCACTTGCAAGTCGCGCGCTGCCTGTATTACTAAATCTATTTGTGCGTAAGCTTGGACCTAAAACTAGTATAGAGCTTATCTGAACCGGGATGGACTTACTGGCACCCGCCTGGGACCTTTCTCTCTGGCCAATGCCAAACCAATAAGTAGTAAGATTGGAGAGCATTCGAATAGTGTCAACAGAAGGCATTTGCAATTGAAGGGAAGCAATATGTCCTGCATTATTCGCCCAGTCCTGACCGTGATGAGGAGCGATTTGTGAGACGTCTGCCGAGTCATCAAGTCGACGCCACTTGCTTGGCGCCTGCGTGCGGCCCAAGAATAAAGAAGCCAAGGCAAACATGGCGTGCAAAACACCGGTACATAATTCGCCATTTAAATAGAGTCGTCTAGTGCGCCCTTGTTGGGAAATAATACCGGAAGGAATAAACTGTGAGAAGTAGACGTCCAGCAGAGTGAGCCCATTTGTTTGTGAGGCTAATTGAGTATCTGTCGCGAGCGCCATTATGAGATTTGATTGGCCTCCCATAGGCCTATTTCGATATACATTTTCGAGTGTGGTGCTATTGTCGTCTCTGGGCTTGGCCACGATACGTGCTTCTCGTTTTTTGCGCTGAGGATAAGCACACTCGACTCCTAAATGACGACAACGATCACAAGTTGGCAGTTCGCGGGAACATTTGCGCTAGATATGTTACTAAGTGACTGAATAATGCGTATATATGTAAATTACCTTGAACCGTCGACAGCGCCGACAGGAAAGACTGGTGGAATTCATATTTTATGGTGGGAGTGGAATATGAAGGTGGCATGAAAGGCCGCGGGCAACTCAGGAATGTAACTACAACTGCGCTAACCTTGATAGGAAAGGGCGGAAAAAGCCTGCAGATCTCCCGGGTTATATTCAAAAGCAAACAAAGGAAACCAAAAATCAGAAAACCCTCATAAAAAGAGCAAAACAATAATTTCAATCGGAAATTTTCATCACTAACATAATTCACTGAAGATGTTGGATTAGCAGGTAATTCTCTCCTTGTTCACAGACTACTCAGAAAATTGAAGCAAGACATTGGGCAAATCTCATTACTTCAAAACAATGTCGTGAAACCAATCTAGCAGTCGTTGATTCATAATGACAGCGGCTCCAACGTGGCAATGATGACCTGCCCCGTCCGCAGCAGTTAAAGTATCAAGTGTCGCGTTTGCTCCGATATTTTCTTTCACCAAGCCCGGCTGTCCCTGAAAGAAATGATCGTCGGCAGCATCACCGACATAAAGAGGACATTGAATTTGGCCCTCGAGCCCTTGCAGTGTCATTTTCTTGATCCCATCAAGCAACCCATTCAAATTCTCAACATTGAAAGACCACAGTCCTTGGTCAATGATCCAACGAAGTGTGGTGGAGTTATCACTCTGAGAGCGGAACTCATCGATCTGATCATTCAAGCTCGTCGCATCACCAGCCTCAAATGATTTTATCCACTCGGGCGGCAACAGATTATTCGCGAAGGATTTATAAATGTCCCAAAGCCCGTCCACGGCTATGACAGCTGCGAGCCGGTGTTCAAATGCCGCTGCTCGGACTGACAGGTATCCACCGAGCGAATATCCCAGCAAGCCAATACGTGCACTGTCAACCTCAGGCTGCTGAAATAGGAAGTCAACAACAGGCGTGACAGCCTTCTCCCAATCATGGATGAACCCTTGGCTCTGCCCTCGACGAATCGTTGGCTGTCCAGGTCCCTCATAAACAATGACGTTGTAGCCTCTTTCCAGCGCAGCGAAGCCAGAAACATGAAGCATTTCCTCTTGTGCGCCGTCATACCCATTTCCGAGAATCAAGGTTGGTCTGGGGCTAGAGAAACTTTCATCGGCGCGGAAGAAAATACCATGGACGTTGAAACCGTCGGCTGGGAGAATAACACGCTCCCCGGGAATGGGCAACAGTGCGATAGCCTTGTCGAATGCGAGTGTCTGTTGGGTCCAGAGACTATTGATTCGGGGGTCGTCTGGATTGCCGTGAATAAAGAAGTCTGCCGCGCGGAAATACGATGCAGCCCGAAAGTACGCATCTCGTGCGGAAATAGGGTGATCTTTAGCATTGATTCCGTCGGCCTGGGCTAGGACGCGTGAAGCGAGGCTGGCGAAGGCATCGTGAAAGCTTTCTGTGTTTCCTGGTTCGATATGCTCGGCTGCTTCCAGGACTTCACCGATATCTGCACCTCTGTAGCGGGAAAGAGCTAGAGTGCGGAGTATCTCGAAATTAAATGCACCATCCGGGCTGAGAGGAAGCATGGTGAAGAAATCTATGCTTTACGTTTCAACTTGATGGGGTTTGTCGAGGTACCTAGTAGGATTTTGTCTGAGTAAGAAGTTCCAAGGTGGCAAGATGCGGGGGAAGGATATATATGTTTTTCCGATGCATGAAGTACTAGACTACTAGTAGTAACTACTACTAGTTCAAATTACGTAGCCAGCTTTGTTCCTAAGTCGCTTTTTGGGGGGCCAATGTCCCCGAATCTGCGCGTCAAAAGTCCGTCCGCCCCTCATAATTGCGGTCGATCACTGCGTGTATAATTTTGGGTCTCATGTGAGCGGAATCAGAGTTATCACTTCTTTGATCAGTGTTCGCCAATAGAGTTCCTTGTTCAGACGTAGAGTATAATGGATTTAGACTGTGGAATCTTCAACTGTTTTGCAACTTATTGAACTCCAATCCAACGACCCTCCAAAAGGTTGGTTCATTCATTCCCATCTGCATCTCTAGTAGACCATAAGTTAGGGGCAGTAGTATCTTGACGAAATCCGAAGGTCTCATCCAGGACCTTTAAGTACAAGTCATTGCAAGCTTTACGCCCAGCCTTTTTAGAATTTAATGTCCAGGTGGATACAGCTTGAACTTGAAGGTTCAAGTTCGAGTCTGAGTCCGAGTCAGATGCCCACTAGAAACTTGTGGGTGCCCAGATGGTACCTGGACAGTGGGTCTTTTACCACTGGCACAACTACCAAAATATGTTTCGCGCCCGGTCTCAAGTGGAATTTCAAATTCAAGTTTGTGATTGTGCAACCTTGGGACATTTCGATAACCGCAATAATTGACAAAACAGCAAATCTATGTGATCTATATATATTTGAGCTACATCGAAATCCTCATTTTTACAAGACAGCCCACTTGAATCCGCCTTTCACGACACGAGTCAACACGACCAAGGCGGCACCAGCACACATTGTGGCCCCGGCAAAAATCTCCAAATAGCCATATTTACCTTTGTCAACAGAAACCAAGGCCCCGGCAATTGGACTTCCCGTAAGCACAGCGATTGACACAAAAAAGTATAGAGCTCCTGTACGAATACCGATCTCTTGGATAGGAGACAACTGGGCAATAAGAGCTGGTGTCAAAGAGACATAAGCGCCAGAAAAGAAACCAAAGAATGCGGCGTATAGAATAATTGCGACGTTCGAGCGGCCAGTGAGCCATAGCGCGAAGGTTAGGATGCCCGAAACCAGGGTTGCCACTGACATGACATTGAAGCGACCGACCCGGTCAGCAATCAGGCCGGGGATAATACGACCAAAGACACTAAACAAATTAGTATATAATGTTTTATTTGAGAGGTTTCGTTGAACAATATACCTGGTTGCGTTGAGAATCGCGACGAGATAATTCGCCAAATTGGGAGACATGCCAAGGGTCTGTGCTTGGGCAGTAATAAAGTTGAATGGTAGGAACAATCCAAACGAAAAGAGCGACAGCGAGATGACCAGAAGCAAAAATGGGATCTCCGTAAAAGGCTTGATGTATTGTCGAATATGAACTGGCTTTGGTTCGTGAACCAACCGCGATTTCACAGTAAGATTGACTATGACCAGACCCCCAAGGATGAGGAAGGCAACCGCGCGCATAGTCCAACCGAAGCCAACCTGGTCGATGAGACGGTCAACCATTACAGGAAATATGACACCGCCGATAGAGGCACCAGAGGCGGCAATTCCAAAAGCAGTTGCGCGTTTCGCCCGAAACCAGCTAGCAAGTGAGCCCAAGCAGGCGTAGTAGATGGCACTAGCACCTATAGCACTGCAAATTGCCTGGGACAGGAATATCTGATAATACTCCTTGGAGATAGAGGTCATAATTAGGCCGAACACATGAGCGAATCCACCGACAAGCAACAGCCACCGAGGTCCGTAGTGGTCGAACACCTTGCCCAAGACAATGCCCCCACCATACATCATGAATATTTGAGTGGATGCGATCCAAGCAATTGTGGATGCAGAGTAAGCGCGCAGTAGTTCTTTCTCGTAATAATTCTGAAACACACCAAGGGAGTTTGTCCAGCCGAAGGCTATGAAGAGAGCCCACCAGCTGCCAAAGGTGACCAACCAAGCATCACGCCCTCCATCCGGAGGCTCATTGGTGGCAACCTCTGTGGCCGAGGGTGGTGAAGTATGATCATCTTTCTCGACATCTGGCCCTGGACGAGGTTCGGCCAGAGTTGACTCGCTAGTCGAATTCGTATGATGCGTTGGCATCGCACGTAAGAATGTCTTGAGATCAATCTATGGGAGAAAAATAATATAAAAAAGAAATAGAATCAGATGGATGTAGGAGAAGGCAACAAGAAATACAATTGCATGAAAAGCTAACTCGTGAGGTGATAGCCATGGCGTTTCCAAAGGCTTTTTAAGGAGATGCCGAGCTCGGTGGCTTGTGAGGGCGAAGACCGAGTGCAAAGCTTGGTGGAATATGCAAGTGCGGACTTTCGCTTCGTACTTTGGCGCTGCAAATGTCCGCTTGACGCTGATTGGTGCACGTAAAACAGTAACAAGCCGAAGTGTGCGCACTGCGGAAAATGATGTGATAAAACTCTGCGCATCCCACTCCAATGTCCATTTAATCAACCTTGAGATCCGACAATAACTTTCTATGAGATTTAACGACGAATCCGCCTAAAATGAAGAATGCTTTCAAAGGCTCAGCGCGCGGTGGGAACGATCTTGCCAAGCGTGTGGATCGCCGTTTGTCAGCCATAGCCTAGGCGCCCTGACGAAACGTTAGGCATCCCGGCGCTTTCTCCACCGTTTGGCCCATATAAACCACTTTTTCCAGACTTCGATGAGGTGTGCTTGTGTAACCTCTCTGATCATTGTTGCCGAAAGGTCATGAAAGACGACACGAGAAAACGGACACGAAAATACAGAATGGACACACTGGAAAGAATAGAGTTATCAAGAGGCCCACTTAGTAAATAGAGTAATACAGAGCATAAATTAAAAAAATTTTCTACGTGCAACCTCGGAAAAAAATATCGGGAGCCTCCCATATTGGCTGCACGCGGGCCGTCGGGAATCGGAAATACCCGAAAGTCCCGTCTTTAGGCAGTCTATGAAAGGACTGACTGTACCCAGTGGCTTGAGAGAAAAAGTCAAACTATAGCCAATTAGCCGAAGGAATATGATCTTCACAGGATTGCAGCATTATGAGTGGAGACTGTCAGATCTGAGCACCGCAACATTGAGCCTCGCTAAAGTACGATACGAGAATGTAGTTACCTGATGGGTGTTCGGCTCTTCGTGATCGGGGCATGAACCTCAATAAGGCATCCTGTACTCAAAAATTGCACAACGTCAACTACTGACACGGGGATGCTTCCGGTAATGACCGATTGAGGCTACTTGATGATTCGAGGCATGCTCGTGTTCCTTCAATGGAGGCTATGCCAAACAGGCCCACGTGTTTTGTTGCGAGATTTAGTCGTCATGATTACATATTGTTCAATTTAAATTAAACTATACCGCGCAGCTTCTGCACGTCTTGTAGCAAAAGGTCTGAAATACCATATTGTCCCACCTCAGATAGTAGAGAGCGCACCGCTCTCATTAATCATACCTACCAAACGAATACAGCGGTTTGCTGAATGATTGAATGAAGACTTGGCATGTGCAGCAAGTGCTTCGTCGTAAGCTTGGCTTTTTTTTTAGAGTGGGTTTCTCCATTGCGCGATGTAGCGTTAATGATAGGTTAGCCTTCAAATCTTGGGATCGAAGTTGGATTGTGGCTTGAATAGAAGTCGCCATTCGTCGGTAATAGTACAATGCTGACAGGCCCCGCTACTTGGCCCCTTCATAGTCTCATCGATTTCGTATTCAGCATTCCGCTGCAACAACGCTCCAAACTTTCAAGGCCGATGGAGCTCTGGACTGGATATTCAGTGGCGGGAAGTTTCTGATGCAGATGAGATTTTAGTTCAATTCATAGATAGAGAGCGATATAATCACGTAAGAGGGGCCAGTTTGGAGCTATATAAACACACCAGGACACCAGTAATTTGGAAAAACCATAGAGGAACTTACCAAAAATATAGACCGAGCATTAGAAATCATGGCTCCTATCATTGCCACCTACTCTAGTCCATCATCTGGAACAGAGTCGGATGACCTAGAGACTTCGTCCAGTTATAGCTCGACCGTTATCTCGGAAGTCAGTGATGATGACCTTCGGCCTGGGATCCGGACGAACTATTCTGCCATCACGGGTATGGCGTGCAGGGTTGCCGGCGCTACAAATGCGCGGGAGCTCTGGGACGTGCTGGAAAAACGAAAAGATCTCCAGCGGAAGATGCCGGAGGATCGTTACAATGTAGACGCATTCTTTCACCCTCAGGGAACAAACAAAGGAACTGTAAGTTGCTAATTTCTGTGTGAAAAGGCCCTCATGGTATCCTAAACTGATGAAACTTGTGAACCGACAGACAAATGCACGCTATGGTTATTTCTTGGATCAAGGGCTCGATAAATTCGACGCCCAATTCTTCAATATCTCTGGAAAGGAAGCACAGGCGATGGACCCGCAGCAAAGGTTGCTGTTAGAGGTCGTGTATGAAGCTGTCGAGGATGGTAAGTAAAAAGGTGCCATGAGCTCAAAGAAGATGAACTGACATGATATAGCTGGGATCACCCTTGATGAGCTCAGTGGGTCTAGGACCGGTGTTTTTGTTGGTTCATTCACCAACGATTATTCAGTTCAGGCGCAGAGGAACCTTGAGCACTATCCCAAGTACAGTATCACGGGTCTGACAAACTCTATCCTCGCCAATCGTATCTCCTTTTTTTTCAACCTTCATGGACCTAGCTACCAGCTGGACACGGCTTGCTCATCATCTTTGACATGTCTTCATCTGGCCAACCAGAGTCTGCAAAGCGGAGAGAGTGATGTTGCTATTGTTTGCGGGTCTGCAATTCATTTTGACCCGTACATGTATATCACAATGACCGATTTTGGAATGTTATCAACTGACGGCCGTTGCCGTGCATTCGATGTGGACGGGTCTGGTTATGTCCGTGGCGAAGGTGTCTGTGTCGTTGTCCTCAAGCGTGTCCGGGATGCGGAGACTGGAGGCGATACCATCAAGGCAATTATTCGTGGAAGCGGTATCAACCATGATGGACTCAAGGAGGGGCTGACTATGCCCAACCCCAAGTCGCAGGCCGCACTGATTCGAGAGACATATAAGGCTGCCGGGCTATCCACCTCTGACACTCAATACTTTGAAGCACACGGAACCGGTACTGCAGCTGGGGACCCTCGCGAGTCTAACGCTATTGGATCCGTGTTTGGTCCAGAGCGCTCCAAGCCCTTGTATATCGGCTCTCTCAAGACCAACCTGGGTCATTTGGAGGGAGCATCTGGAATTGCTAGCATAATTAAGACAAGCTTGATGCTGCAAAAGGGAAAGATTGCACCAAATTTGCTGTTTAAGAACCCCAACCCGCAGATCGATTTTGAGCGTGGGAAGCTCAAGGTTGTCACCGAAATGATTGACTGGCCCGCTACGAACGGCCCCCGACGTGCCAGTATTAATTCCTTCGGGTTTGGTGGCAGTAATGCTCATATCATTCTTGACGCTTACTCGCCATTGAGGCAACCGGGCATCGACTCCACTGTTTCCAATGAAGGATTGAAGAACCGCCCCTTCCTGCTTCCATTATCCTCACACTCGGAGAATGCTGGCCGGCGCCATATCGCCAACCTTATGGCGTATGTGGAGCAGCGGCCAGAGACCGCAGTGGCTGATCTGGCGTATAGCCACAGTGTTCGTCGCACATTGCATCCTTACCGCTCCTTTGCTATCGGACAGACTCTCTCAAGCCTGATGACCGACCTTGCTTCTCCTAAGCCAGTGGCCGCGTGGACGCGTAAAGCTTCTTCACCCCCCACGTGTTGGCTTTGTCTTCACAGGACAGGGAGCTCAGTGGTACGCCATGGGTCGACAGCTGATCAATCAGTGTCCACTATTCCGCCAAACATTGGAAAAATGTGACCGAGTGTTGCAGCGTCTCCCAGACGCTCCTCGTTGGTCCTGCGTTGATGAGCTTCTCAAGTCAGCCGAGGAGTCGCATATCATGGAGAGCCAATTTTCTCAGCCTCTGTGTACTGCACTCCAGCTCTCACTCGTCGATCTTCTCCGTTCTTGGGGAATTAAAGCATCAGCTGTCGTTGGCCACTCTTCGGGAGAAGTTGGCGCTGCTTATGCAGCAGGTATTCTCTCATTCCAGAATGCCATCACCTGTGCATTTTACCGTGGGCTTTACATGTCAAAGGGCATTGGTTCCGCATCAGGAGCAATGATGGCGGTGACAATGACGGAGTCTGAGGCGAAGGCTGCATTGGAGCCGTTCAATGGCCGTATTGCACTGGCAGCCATAAACAGCTCGTCCAGTCTCACCCTTTCTGGAGACGAAAGTGCCATCCTGGAACTGAAAGCGACTCTTGACGAACAAAACATCTTCGCTCGAAGACTGCAAGTTGAACAAGCTTTCCACTCCCATCACATGTTTCCTCTCGCACCAGGCTTCAGACAAGCTCTATCCACTTTGTCCACCTTTCAGCCTCGTGTAGGCAAAATCCCAATGTGCTCCAGCGTCACAGGCAGACCATCAGGTGCACGCGCTATGGACGCCGAATATTGGGCTGCCAACATGACAGGAGTGGTACGATTCTCCGATGCGCTGACCGGTGTGCTGATCAGTGAAGACGAAGAGCCCGCTCTTGACGTGTTGGTAGAGATCGGTCCCCATCCTGCGCTGAGAGGACCATCCAAGCAGGTCATGAAGGGGTTGGGAATTGAATTGCCGTACATTGGCTCGCTGGACCGCAAAGTGGATGCGTATGAGAGTCTGCTTGCTACGGCCGGGCAGCTGTTTGCCTTGGGCTATGACGTCGATCTCGCCGCAGTGAATGCCGGGCATGTCGTGGGTCCGTTTGGAAAACAAGAACAACACCAACTTGGAATTGCTTTGGCTGATTTGCCCACTTATGCATGGGATCATCAGAGCTATTGGTCTGAGACCAGAGTTGCCCAGGAGTACCGTCAGCGAAAGGCCCGTCACGGGGTTTTGGGTGCCCTAGTCCAGGGACACCTGCGACCCATCGCCGTTGGCAGAGATACCTTCGACCGAGCGAGCTTCCATGGCTCACAGAGCATGCAATTGATGGGAAGATTATCTTTCCCGGTGCAGGATACTTGTCAATGGCCCTTGAGGCAATCACCTCTGATCTGGAGCCAAACGCAGTGGAGGAGATCATCATTCGGAATGTGACTATCAAGGCTGCGCTGTCAATTTCCGAGTCAGACACCGGAACAGAGACAATGCTAGACCTTGTTGATCTCAATGGAGAAGAGCAGACTCAGTCCAGTCATTCCTGGAGCCGATTTACAATCTACTCATTTGATGATGGCAAGACCACGGAGCATTGCACAGGTCTCATCTCCGCAATTGTCCGAGACCGTGCGATTGTTTCGACGGCCGAGAGTGAGGGCTGGGAGTCCGAATCCTCCTTCGCTGATCTTCAGGCACTGACCACACGCTCGCAACTACCTTCGAAGTTCTACGACCGACTTTATAATGTGGGCCTGCAGTATGGGGACAATTTCCGTCTCATGCGTGGTCCGATCGAGAGCGGCCCCGGGTTTGCTATTGCTCCAATGGTATACCGTCCGAAGAATGTGACAACGATACCGGAGGACGAGTGCATCCTGCATCCCAGTTTCTTCGACTGCACCCTGCACACACTCTTCGCGGCGCTCGAGACTCATCTCCAGAGACCCTTGGACGATTCCTATATTCCAACTTCCATTCAAACGGTCCGTGTGTCGGGCAGTCTTGTTCGTCGAAAGCACAACACGGAAGACCAGGAGTTTTGGGTCAGGGCAGATAATGAACGTCTGAGTCCCCGTGTTAGCAGAAGCGACATCTTCATTCACGATAGAGACTCCAATACTCAGCTTGTCACGCTGAAGGGGTTGGAAGTTACTGGACTGGGAATCGGAGACAAAAGCCTGGATGAGGACAGGAATTTGTTTTTCCGAATTCATTGGCAAGAGGCGTTTAGTCTCCAAGGACTCGTCGATAAGAAGTCGCCTTCTTCTGAAATTGGTGATCTGCTGGGTATTTACGCGCATCAGTTTCCGGCGGCAAAGCTTCTCCATGTCACCCCTGGTTTGCTACAGACTCAAAGGCTGCTCGCCCGAGTTGCAACCCCTGAGGATCGCCGGATCCAGAGCTTCTCAATACTTGCCGCGGATGAGACAATTTCTGCTTTGAACGAGCAGTTGGATGCTCTTCTCCCAGGTTTACGGCAGGAGGTAGACCTTGCCAATGACGAATTCGATATCGTCGTGCTGGAAGAGCGCACAGAAGCAGATCCGCTGTCCCTGGTGAAAGGCGATGGTTTTGTGGTGACCTTGACCGATATCGCTGAAAAGGGTCTGCAAAAGCGTTTCTCGGCCGGTCAATGGACGGTCTGGCAGAAGAGTGAAGTGGAGCGTGAGCAGCCAGTAAAGGAAAATCTGCATCTCATCCTCTCCTCGCAGCCATCCCCAGGAACACTGGCCATTGCCGCTGCCATTAAAACTCGGAACCCCGGCACTCAGACAAGCACTTTGGAAACAGTTCCTAAGGAGGCCACCCAAATCATCTCACTCATCAACCTGGATGAAGATTTGTTGTACGATGCGTCTTCAGATCGCCCTGCTCAGTTTGATGCTGTTAGAACTCTGCTTGTATCGGAATCTCTGAAGATCGTTTGGCTTCTGAGAGGTGCCACCCAAGAGCCTGTCTGCCCTGCGCAGGCATTGTTTACAGGTCTTGCCCGTGCGGCGCGCAGTGAAAACGAAGATCTGCATCTCGTGACGCTGGATGTGTCCTATTCGACCGACGCGAATGCAATTGGGAAGTTTGCAGTGCATGTTCTAGACCCTTCTGTAGCAGAAGATGAGCTGCGTGTCAGCGATAACAGACTGTTCATTCCTCGTGTGATCACTGACGATCAGCTCAACCGCAAGTTGCCGAATGGCCCTGGTCGCCAGCCTATTCAACAAGCGTTCACCCAAGATAAAGTGCTAGCCCTGGAAGTTCTCCGCACCCCAGGACAAGCAGACTCTATCCTGTATACGGATGGCCATGGTTTAATCACCGATAATCTTGATGATCATGAGGTTGAATTTCGAGTGTCCGCATCAGCCATCAGCGATCGGGATGCAGCAATTGTGGCCGGAACCCTGCATGATAGCCATCTGGGAGAAACAGCTGTCGGGTTTGTTACTCGTGTCGGTGCTCATGTGGATGGCTCCAAGATCCGTGTTGGTGATCGCATTTTCGCGTACTCGCCTCAAGGGGGCGCCCATCGGTCGCTTCTCCGTTTGTCAGAGAAACTCGCGTTTGCTATCCCGGGAGAGATCAGTGATACCGATGCTGTTGCGCTTGGGCACAACCTCCTAATTGCTCACTACGCGTTGCTTGATATCGCTCACCTGAGAGCAGACGAGCAGTGTCTTGTACTTGGCGGTTCTTCTGGCCTTGCCCAAGTCGCGGTGCAATTGGTAGAGGCGGTGGGTGCACACACATTGACAGCCCCCACTTCTAAGGCGACAAAGGCCAATGTCATTCTTCGTACGGATGCTTCTACTCCTTTCACTCACGAGTTCTGGGACATTTTGGCTATTGGTGGCCGGATCATTGACCTTGCTGCCACCTCCGCCCCTTGGAATGCCGGCGCCTTGCTTCCTGGATATTCTTATACCGCAGTCGATCTGGCAGCGGCCAGTCGCCAAGATGATTGCCTGGGACCTCGACTGGTCCAGAGTGTCGATCAACTGTTCCAGAAGCAAACATTTTCTCTTCCCAGTCCAGTGAGAACGTTTGGATATGGAGAGGTCGATCAAGCTCTCCGACACTCACGTTTGAATGGCGTCGATGGCCAACTAGTGCTCTTCGAACGCCCAGGCGAGCAAGTAGCAGTTGCACCACCCACCTATCGCGGCACCCAACCGCTGTTCCAATCTCACAAGACTTACCTTATAGTTGGTGGACTCGGTGGTATTGGTCGTGCTCTGTCCCAATGGATGTTCCGCCGTGGGGCTCGCCAATTTGCCTTCCTCTCGCGTTCGGGTGCCCGCAAGGCCGAAGCCAAAGAGACTGTGAATTGGCTCGAGCATCGCAAGGCGACAGTTACTGTTTACTCCGGGGATGTCACCTCCGAAAAGGATGTCCGTAAATGTGTCCATCTCATTGGAGATAGTCTCCGCGGTGTGATCCAGGCCGCCATGGTTCTAGAGAGTGGCCCCCTATCCGAAATGACAGCTGGACAATGGGCTTCGGTTATTCGACCCAAGGTGTATGGCGCTGAAAACCTTCATCACGCGACGAAAGAGCTCCCGCTTGACTTCTTTATCTGCTTCTCCTCAATCTCAGCCATTATTGGGTTTATGGCAGAGGCGAACTACTCCGCTTCCAATGCTTATCTTGATGCTTTTGTCCGGTGGCGCCATGCACAAGGTTTGCCAGGCTTCGCAATGAACGTTGGAGTAGTTGCCGATGCTGGTGCCATTGCCGAGGATGCTCATCTGCGGGCTATCATTGATCGCATTGGTATGGATGTTCTCACAGAGGAGGAACTATTCTATCAAATTGAAGAAGCAATCAATGGCCAGCGGGTATTCTCACAGCAGGCCTTGGAAGAATGGGTTGGAGATCGCCACCACCTCCTCAGCGGTATCAACACTCGTCGGACCGATCTTTTCTGGTCTAAGAAACCGTTATTCCGGAATTTGTATGCCGGACGCAGCCAGAAGTCGGCAGTGTCAGGCAACTCGGAGGAGCACCAGCTATCTGAGCTCCTACAACAGGCAGGAGAATCCGATAAAATGTTCCCTGTGCTGTTAGATGCCTTCTCCGATCGCATTGCTAGCTCTTTGGCTGTTTCCCGTTCCATTGTTCAGGCTGGCGTGCCTCTGGCTGCATACGGAATGGATTCCCTCGTGGCAGTCGAGTTCCGCAAGTGGTTCTCGAAGGAGGTTGGGGTCAACCTTGCTCTGTTTGATATCCTAGGCTCGAAGTCAACTGGTGATCTTGTGGCCAAAGTTTGCGACCTGGTGGTTGCAAATGATTCTTCTAAAGGACCTGGTGCCAATGACACTCAGGCTACCTCATCTGAAAGTCCCCAAGCCTCGACTGTGGCCAAAACTTCGGAATTGATTCCCATAGTAAACTCGCGCCCGGCTCAGATCCCCATGTCGACCTTCCAGCGCCGTCTCTGGTTCATGCATAACCTAACCGCTGACAGTGCCTCGTTGAATGTTTCAGTTTCCTTGATCATCGATGGGACACCAAAACTATCCCTCTTGGAAAGAGTTTGGCAAGAACTTGGCCGTCGCAATGAAAGTTTGCGAACCGCTTTCTTTGAAGGTGATGATTTCGCAGAGCAAGAGATCGTTGAGAATGGCCTGATTCCAATTGAGCAAGCCGACGTTAGCAACACATCAGACCCCGAAGAGTCTCTTCGCTCTTTTGCAGCTGCTCTTCGCCAACAGCCTCTCGATGTCGACATTGGACAGCTGATCCGTTCCGCCTTGGTCAAGCTTGGAGATTCCCGGTATGCTTGGGTTCTCAGCATCCACCATATGGCCATTGATGGCGGCAGCAAGGCCTCACTGATGGGTAAGTATATATTATCTTTTTCCACGCACATCAGCCATAAGCTAATTCTATTGCAGAACAAATCAGCACGTTGTACAATGCCATTGCGAGCGGTGCCAATCTCAACACAGTCACCCAACCCAAGCTTTCATATGTTGATTTCACTTTATGGCACGAGCAGAGGCTGCAAATGTCTGAAATTCAGGATCAACTGAAGTGGTGGCGCAAAACGCTGGCCGGTGCTCCTGCCGCTAGTAAACTGTTGCCATTTGCTCAGAACGATCGTCCTGCTAGCTCCAGTCGGGAGCGTGATATCGTACGGGGAGAACTTAACAAGCAGCTCTTCAAGCGCATGAAACGCATCTGCAGTCGTCTCGAGGTCACTTCATTCCACTTTGTTACCGCTGCTTTGCGAGCTTTCCTACACCGATATACCGGTGAAAATGACCTGACAATTTTGGTTGTTAGTGGTGAGAGACCCCATACCGAACTCGATCAAGTGCTTGGATTCTTCGTCAATATGATCCCACTTCGCTCTGAGATGTCTGGTGACGAGACTTTTGATGCGCTAGTCACGCAGATCAAGAGGCAGGCGGTTGACGCCCTGGGCCGGTCGCAAGCTCCATTTGATGCCATCGTGGAGGCTATGAACATCGGGTGGAGTCCTAGTCATTTTCCTCTTGGGCAGATTGCTGTCAACTACCAAACATACGCCAAAGCACCAACCTATCCTACAGTTGACTTCGATATTCCAGAGGTCCGGGTTGAGGATATGCCCACCGCATTTGAGATGCAGCTCGAGATTACGGAAGACGAACAGGGCGGATTGAAACTCCGCCTTGATTTTGATTCATTTCTTTACAGCAAGCCGGATATGGAGCGGATGTTCCAAAATTTCAGTACCTTCCTCACAAGCGTGGTTCAAGATTATCGTCAGCCCATTGAGGAAATTGAGATGGTTGGAAATCTTGAATTGGCTCGACTCCGGGCGCTGTTCTGGACTGAAGAAATCAGTGCTGGTGTGGATGATGGCCTGTCCCTTTGGGAATTATTCGCGAAAAGTGCCCGTGTTTACCCTGGCTCAACTGCAATTACCACCTCCGGTGGTCAGTCAATCACATATAAAGACCTTCTCGCTCTGGCGGAGAAGCTTGCAGCCACTCTCCACAACTCGGGCATTACCGCAGGTGATCGGGTTGGCATCCTGTCTTGCGCTTCTATTCATACCATTGCAGCTATGCTCGCCCTCTCTCGCCTGAGCGGTACGTATGTGGCCTTGGACCCCGACTTCGCCGAGTCGAGACTTGTACACATGATCCAGGACTCCTCTAGCGTGATTGTTCTTGTGGATCAACCTTATGAGCCTCGGGTAGTTGGGATCAAAGAACAGACGACGGCACGCTTTATGTCTCTTCAGACATCTGACTTGAACGACGAGGGGTTGCCTCCCATGGAGCCACACCCAGATCCATATGCCACATATGTGACTTATACATCGGTATGTCGTCTTACTTTTGATAGTTGAAGCTAGACATTATTATTGACACATCATAGGGCAGCACTGGAGCGCCTAAAGGCGTCGTGATTACCCACGAGAACACAAGAGTAATGCTTGACAACTATACGCGAGCTCATCGCCTCACCAATCAGGACGTTGTTCTGAGTGCAACGTCCATTTGCTTCGATATTTCCGTCGCTCAAATATGGGCACCTCTGACTACAGGAGCAACTCTCGCGTTGGCTCTTTACCCAGTCCGAAAAGACCCTGGTGAACTAGCTCAGTTCATGCGCAAGGCCGGTGTCACAATGGGTTCTTATACGCCAACTCAATTCGCACTCTTGATCGAGCATGGTGATTCTTATCTTCGACAATGCACTGCGCTCCGAGCAGTTAATTTGATAGGAGAAGCCCTTCCAGCCCGTTTAGCGAAGGCGATCTACGACCTTGGTTTGCCCGCCACGGTTTATAACGAATATGGACCCTCCGAGGCAACCTCACAAGTCACTTCTCACCCCGTTCCTCGATCACTCAAGACAGAATCCTCGGTTTCAATCGGTCGTGCATTGCCAGACTCAACCTTGTATATCGTCAATTCACGCCTGCGTCCGGTTCCTGTCGGGGTTCGCGGTGAGCTCTGCATTGGCGGTGGCCAATTGAGTCCTGGGTATCTCGGTCACCCGAAAAAGACGCAGCAAGCCTTTGTGAAGAACCCCTTTGTGCAAGGCCAGTTCCGAGCCCGCGGATGGACTCATTTGTACCGAACCGGTGATCAAGCGCGCCATCTTGAGGATGGCACGGTTGACTTTCTGGGGAGAATCGCGGGTGACAAGCAAGTCAAGTTGCGAGGCTACCGGATCGACCTTGCCGAGATCGAAAATCAGCTAGACAATCACTTCAGTAAAGACAACGCTGTCTTTCACGCCCGATCTGTCGTTTTGGTGCGCGAAGTCTCGTCACCAAACGGCCTGACTGACGATCGCCAGTTAGTCGCGTTCTTGATTCCCGGGATCCCCGGAGAAGAGCAGCAATTGTACCAGGATTCTATCAATTCTGCTCATACATACATAGCCCAGTCGCTAAACAGCTACATGCTGCCAAGCTCTTACCAGGTCCTGGGTGCGTTCCCAAGTCTGATCAGTGGAAAGGTCGATCGAGCTGCGCTGGCTCGTATTGACGTTGAGCCACTGTTTCCCGGTGCTAAGAATGGAAAATCTGAAGTCACCACGGCCAACGCCCTCTCTAGCCAAACCCTGGATACAATCATCACTATCTTTCGATCAGTTCTGAAGTTGGGATCAGACCGGGAGATCAAGAGTACGGACACTTTCTTTGAACTCGGAGGCCAAAGCGTCCTCGCACTACGGCTTCAGGGGATTCTGAAGCGCAAGCTGAAACAAGATATCACGCTCTTGCAATTGTTCGACAATCCCAGTCCTGCAAAGCTGTCTGCATTGCTAGATTCCAGGGCAAATCCAGGCCAAGCCAGTGTCGGAAAATCAACCGGAGATCTCAATACCATTGATTGGGACCGTGAAATTCACCTACCGGACGATTACCAACATCGTCCTGCATCTCGAACAGTTTCAAATGAGAATCAGAAACCCACTGGTATCTTGGTTCTAGGTGCGGACTCTTTCATCGGCATTTTCCTTGTTAAGGCGTTGCTTACAGAAAATCCCGATGCCACGATCTGTGTGCTCGGCATCGGAAACTCCTTGGACTCGGCTGGCGTGTTGCAGCTATTCCAGGACAATCAGCTCCTAGACGCCACCATGACATCGGAGTGGCTATCAAGCCACGTTCGTCCTGTTCCTGGGCTTATGGTTCAACCGGACTTTGGATTGGGACAGAACGAGTTCCGCGCGCTTGCTGGACAAGTCCAGCAGATTTTCCATACGGGTGGCCATGTGTCTCTCCTGCAGACCTACTCCGATCTCCGCCAATGCAACGTGGAAAGCGTATCTTCTATGATCCGCCTTGCTGCCTTGGGCTCCAGCACTTCCCTGCACTACATCTCGACCTGGAGTGCAGTACACATGCAGAGCTGGAATACTTCGACACGCAAGACAGGGATCGTCTCAAACCGTGAGGTCAGTCTGGGTTCGTTCGTTCCGCCCACTTCCAACGCCTCGGGCTATTTCAAGACCCGCTGGGTAGGTGAGCAACTTCTTGAAACCGCAGCTCAGCGCGGATTTCCGACCACGATCTACCGGTGCTCTGGCCACACCGCACCTCTAACTTCGCCAATTCCCACTCCTCGGGAGAACTTCACGCTCAACCTGTTCCTCGGCATGATCCGAGCAGGCGTTGTGCCTGATATTGCTTCTGCTGGTGCCGGACTCGAAGCAACAGTCAATCTCCTACCGATCGATAACCAGATGGACACGGTTGCTCAACTTGCCACTCACCCGCCCACCGGCCTAGAGATCCAACGATTCCACATCAACAACCCTGTTCCATTGCCATGGACGCAGCTTCCATCGGTGATCTCTCAAGTTCGTGAGGATGGCGAAGCAGGAACCCTCGTCGACATTGACACTTGGACTGAGCGCATGCTTGAGCATGCGATCACAGAACAGGAGCGCTTGGAGTGGTCAACTTTCAAGGAGTATTTGAGTCTCGGCCATGTGATGTTCGCGCTTGATGAAACCAACACTCGTGCCGCACTCGAAAGTCAGAGCGGCAGTAGACTGGAATGTCCTCCTGTTGACGCCAAGTACCTGCAGCATCTGAAACTGAAGCAGGCTCAATATAGCTAGTTCTGATGTCATTTGTTGGTGCATCTCTTGAACCTTCAAGTTGGCAGCCGCTGAACCTTAAACCCAGGTACTGAATGCTGTTGATATACGTTCATCCATGTTCTCCTAAAAAAGTTTTCTTCGCGACATATATTAGCTATCATAGATTAGGAATACAATTTGGCAAATATATATATACCGTATTTTTGGACCTAACTACCTAGGTACTACCTTCCAAGGTTCGTACTAGTACTAATTAACCTATAATCACCCGAGGCCTAGAAGAACTTGAAGATAACCAATGCTTGAAATCCAAGATAAAAACTACTAACCAGACAAAAACAGGAGTAGGATACCGCGCATGGATTGTTGTTCAGTACCATTCCAGTTCGAGTTTTACACTTTAACTACACCGGGGTGGTCTTTTGGACCGGTTGGCTTGGCCGGTTTGCTGCCAGTGCCCAGGGGTGACCGGCCCACCGTCAGCCCTTTTGCGGTATCTGCCCAGGTAGTCTGTCCCTATCACCTGCCCCCAGGTGCTCAGTGAGCAGTTTGATCAACTGAACATTGGAATCAACTGAGCTGGTCCAGCTGATTCAAATTATCACACTCATTTTAGATGATACAGTGCTGTGACTACCGGCTCCTCCGTCTCTCCATCGAATATTTTGCCCCCATCGCGCGGTCACTCTCTAGCCTTTAGGAAGTTTCTTCCTCTGTCTCTGTCTAACACGAGCGATTCAAGAGCTCTTTGGATGTTCGCGTGCGTGTACTTGAGCTCAGCGACAACCGACTCGTCATCATGCATGGGGACATTTGGATTCAATCTCGATGGGGGCTGCGAGTCGGAGTTCCATCTTCCTCTAGCCGAAGAAAAGCGGAGGTTCACCCATGCTCGATCGACCGACGTGTTCGCGCGCCAAGTATTCAAAACCACGAGTCAACTCAAACTTGCCCATCGAGGGCTTCCAGAGCGGCCGCGCCGTCATATCAGGGATGTCTATCTGCAGCACGCGCTAAGCATGTCAACACGGTCTGGCATCTCTCAACCACAGCACGATCATATGTGGGAGACCTGCCATGAGATGGGCCGAGTGAGATCCAGCGAATGATGTCTCTTTTTGAGAAGCATCCGCAAGAACGTTCCCATCAAGCAAACTATGACTAAGTCCGAGTCCCGTGGATAAAATGAGATTTGATGTGGCGTTGCTCCCATGTGAAAATCCACCCTAAGTCTGTGGCCAAGACTTCTGCAGGATGCGATCCCCGACGGCATATATTCGGTCTCCGTGCTGGGCTTCTGCCACACTGCCAGCGTTGCAGAAAGGCTCCCGCTAGCTGCTTGGCTGCAGATCATATTCCCTGGTTCCAGTATGCCGTCGCGAGTGCTCCTCTCGGGCTCTCATCTCTCACCACTCAGACCCTGTTGGCTCGACTCTTCTTTCTTTTACTCGTCAATGCATTTCCCTTGATCGACAGCCCGAGCCTATCAACGTCCTCAGCTTGTCAACTCAGACCCGCTGTCAAGAGCTCTACTAGCCCGCGGACCATACGAACCTCTCACCTCTTCCTCTCATGCAGGAACATTATATAGCCAAGCGAACTGTAGCATCGCTTAGCTGGCTGGGTTAAAATTGGGCTTGGGCTCTGCTAGCGTGCGAGGGGGGTATAAGTCACGGAATTCCCAGGCAGAGCTCTCGTCTGAATCCAGTAACTTTTCAGCTTGAGCTTCGCCAAAATCCAGTATAGGCAGATCTTTTCGTCCTACCAACTCGGCCAGCCGAAAACTTACCAGACCTCCAGTAAGGATGAAGTTGGCTGTTCTGCTGGTTGCTCTCGCACCAGTAGCGACTACAGCTGCCCAACACAAGTCTGCTGATGACTGGATCACCACCATCTGGGATGACTTCAAGAATGCAGTGGACTGCTTCAGCTGCCAGGTAGATTGGCCAATTACTCAGTTCAACATCTCACAATTGCGCTGAACTAACGGTGATCTGATCATATAGGCCCTCCTCGGCGGTCTCAAGCTTGTCTCCGGCCTTGGTGAATCCTTTATGGAGGATGTTATTACCGGTGTCTGCTCCATCAGTGGTGTAAGGTCCATCCCCTGTTTCCTAGGTCAGAAAGCTGATATAAGATAGGCTGAAGACAGCGATGTGTGCGCTGGCGTGATTGCCAACGAAGGGCCTGCTGTTTATTACTCGCTGAAGAATCTGAAACCGGGCTCTCACACAGCCAAAACATTTTGTGCAAGCTTGGTCGGTCTATGCGAATTCCCCAAAGTCCGTCCATACGAGATCTCCTTTCCTTCGCCCAAGCCACCAACCACCCGCCCTCTACCAAGCGATAAAGCCCCGATCAAGGTTGTCCACTTCAGCGATACTCACGTGGACCTCTCCTACGAGGAAGGATCTAACTACGATTGCTCGAAACCGATCTGCTGCCGCGCATATACTGAGAAAGACGCCCCCGGAAACACAACTTCACCATGCGGACCCTGGGGAAATTCCAAGTGCGACCCGCCGCATCGCCTACAAGAGAGCATGATGGCTGCTATTGCACATATCAATCCCGCCTTCTCGATATACACCGGAGACGTAGTCGCCCACGACGTCTGGCTTGTCAATAAAACAGAAGTCCTCCAAGACTTGAACGCGACCTACAGCTCCATGGAAAATAACTTGGGACTTGTTTATGCCGCTCTTGGTAACCACGACGCTGCCCCTCTCAACCTCTTTCCATCCGACAAAATTCCAAGCGAATATAATCCCCAATGGGCTTACGATGCCCTCGCGGAAGACTGGCTCACCTTAACTGGCATTCCCTCCGTGCAAAAGGCCAGCGAATATGGTTCTTACTCCGCCGTGCACCCAGACAGCAAACTACGAATAATCTCCTACAACAGCATCTTCTACTACAAATATAACTTCTTCTCTTACACCGAGCCCATGGAATTCGACCCAAATAACCAGTTGGACTGGCTCATCGCCCAGCTACAAGAAGCCGAAGATGCGAAGCAGCGCGTCTGGCTTATCTCCCACATCCCAACCGGTAACTCGGACCATTTCCGCGACCACTCTCACTATTTCGACCAGATTATTCAGCGGTACGATGCGACAATCGCCGCGCTCTTCTTTGGACACACCCATACGGATGAGTTCCAGTTGTCGTACTCCAACTACAAGGATCGAAGCTGGGACACCGCGACGGCAATGGGCTACGTCGCGCCTTCAATGACACCTACCTCCGGCCCCCCTTCATTCCGGGTCTACGAGATCGACCCCGTTACCTTCGGCGTCATGGATTTCACGCAATATATTGCCAACATCACCGATCCTTCACTCCAGACGGAACCTGAATGGAAACCTTACTACTCTGCCAAAGCAGACTACGGATCAAAGCTCTCACCAGCCGTGAAAGACGCCGGGATCGAGCTCACGCCGGCGTTCTGGCATAATGTCACTGTGGCTATGGAGAAAGATACCTCTGTCTTCCAAGACTTTTGGAGTCGACGAACTCGTGGGTTTAATGTCCCGGCTTGTACTGGCGACTGCATCAGTAATGAGATTTGCGCTCTTCGCGGTGCAGACGCTCAATACTCATGCTATAAGCAGGCGCCTGGATTCAGTTTTGAGAAACGGGATGGATCGGGTGTCTCGCATCTTTCGGAGGAAAGTTTCCAGCAGCCGGAGTGTAATCATGCAGGGATGGCGCCTCTTTTCGCGAAGATTTCGCATCGGGCGAAGCTTGCGAGGGAGAGGGGGAGTAGAGCTTGCATCAATTCGAGATGTAAATCTAATAGTCACCCCTCCATATATTCACGCCGAAGTTACGCTTTTTTTGATTTCGACCGTCCGATCTAGCTCAGACTAATACAATCCTCAACATTGCATCGCTGTGAGAGTGCATCAAACAAGTAAAATGACTTTCTCAATACTAGTACTAGAATATGCCAACCATGCCAATAGTTATGCATACCGACGACGCTGGAGCACTGTCACTAAAATATCATCCTCTAACGGCCTTCGCGGAAAGGGACAAATGTTGGACTTAAGGGGCAACATCCATTTCTTCGCCCCCAAAGCACGACGATCTGACACATCAGACCGCCTGATGACTCGATTGTCTCACTTGTTCTCTGCGGAGCAATCTTGCTTTACTCTACTCCAGACTGGATTAAGCGAGCCTTAGAGAGAACAGTCAGGATGTCTTTTATCGACATTCCGAATGAGCTGATCTACCTTGTGGGGAAATACCTGCCCCAGAAAAGTATCTCATCCCTAATGCAGACCAATCATATGCTGTGTGGTCTGCTCCAGAAAACACTATATGATAAGACACCTGAGAGTAAAACCTATCACATTCTTTATAAGGCATGCGAGCATGGCCGTGTGGACCTGGCACGCGAAATGCTGAAACGGCTTGGTGCACAACAACGGCCAAAGGATATTCCACGCTTTCTAGCAGCAGCGGCGGCCCATGGACATGTTGATGTTCTTCAGTTAATTCTAGAGCAAGAAAACACTGATCCGAATGAGGACTGCATTATTCATTCAACAGCTCTTGTATCTGCGGCAGGAGGAGGCCATCTTGAGGCGTTGAAAACTTTACTTGAGCATCCTAGAGTTCAGCCAGACCAATTAGGCAGATATGGTCGAACGCCCTTCTTCGCAGCCGCAGAAAATGGCAATGTATCGATTATGAAAGAACTCCTGAAAACAGGGCGAGTCGACTTGAGTCACCGGAATAATGAGGGTCGTTCGGCCATACACTTTGCAGGAGAGATGGGACAAGAAGAAGCAATGCGCTTCCTTTTAAGTCTGCACACCGACCCTGGACTTCGAGACGGAAATGGCTCTACCCCTCTAGCCACCGCCGCAGCAGCAGGAGCCTCGGGCGTTGTGAAGATTCTCCTCGAAACTGGCCGCGTGGATGCAAATGCAAAAGACCACGCATCTAAGACACCTCTACATCGAGTTTTTGAATTCGCCAGTTTAATAGATAGCCATCTCGTTCGAGATCAAGAGAAGAAGGAGAAGGTCCACCGCATGCTGTCTGGGGAGGTCCTTCCACCGCACTCTCCAGCGAGTGAACTTCGGCGAAAGAGAACGGAAGAGCACACTTTGACGACTGATGGTTATGAGGTCATCAGACAGCTCCTCGCTCTAGAGGATATAGAATTAGAACCTTGTGATTCAGAGGGCCGAACGCCTTTGTCCCATGCCGCCGGGGTATGTTCTGTTGAAGGGACGAGATTACTGATTGCTACTGGGAAGGTGGATCTTGAATCGAAGGATAATGATGGCTGGTCACCGGCTACCTGGCTTGAATGCCAGTATAAGCCAAAGCCGACGCCGGATGAGATAGAGTCAGATATTGAAACTCCAGGCTTTATGCTTTTTGATTGATTGATATAGTGTTCCTTTCAAGTCGATACAGAACAATGGAAAATGGCACCCACGCAAACAATCAATAACTTGCAATATCATGTTGATCATGATGACTATGGAAATGAGCCCTAGATTCAAGCCATAGCCACAGTTGAACTGTGTAGAATCAGCCCTCAGGCTTGGAAGATATAGTACTATTCAAGTAACAATCAAGAACCAATGGGCAATCCACAATTACTTGAAAGTTATCCAGGTTATTGCAAAGAACTAAATACATGTTCGTGGATAGGTCTTCTTAAATACCATTTAGCCTCCTCTACTCCTGGATCTACTCTTGTGGTAGATATAGGAGTCCCTGTATACTCCATATGCGCAAGGAGTCAATATCACATGCACTTTTCGCAAGGGTTCCCTTCTTCCTACCATCTTTCTTGTCGTAGGAAAGTTCACGGTTTCTAGCCAAGCAGCCACTTGATTTGTTGAGGAATTGAATTTTTCCTCCCAGGCCAGGGTCCTTAATCCAAGTTCCCTGAATTATTGTATATCTTGTACTGCTAGTGGAAACACTAGGGCTTTTATGTTTTGTTCCGAGCGTGACCTTAGGCTAATGATAGTCGGGTGTTGAGCACTTTCCATATGAATATGGCCAAATTATCTATGCAAAGGCCGGGTATTTCAGCGAGGGGATGCGAAGCACGCTCGGCATCACAGGGGCTATACTTAATGGCGGACTAGGGGGGGGGGGAGGTTCAAACTCAAGTAATAAAAACAGTTACTATTGAATCACTGTGTGGTCTGCAACACGACCGAGTATTTCGTACTAGCTGTGCCATGTCTCAGCCTTCCTACTGTCTCAATACCACCAACCCTCGTTTTGAGTCTCGTATTGTGATCCACTTTTATTGTGGACCTGCCCTGGCGTTTCAAAAGCTTTTTCTGAAATAATCCGAGAAAAATTGATTGGCGAGACCAGGGCTAATTTTTTTGCCTTTGAGAGAGTGAATTTTCGATCAAGAATTCCACTCCACGAATGTTGCCAAATGGTTCAAGTGGGTCGACTAGAAATATTGAGTCGAATTTTCTCGTGAATCTTTGCAAATGAACCAATCGTATCGGCTCTTAAATCTTCTTTGAAGGCGGCCTCGAATCCTGGAGCTGTCGATTGACGACCTCTCAAGGGTATCTTGATCTTCCTAGATTATGCTGCGGCTGAGGCCTCAAGCTCTCCAGATCGACCCATATCAGCCTCCTGCTTTGTCTTCATCACACACACACACACAAACAAACTTCCATGATCTTCATCATCCGCCTGCATAGGCCTCGAATGTTTATCCTTTTTATCCGAGTTCCAAATTACCCCAGCTCGAAAAAAAAATGTCACGTCCTTTCACCAACTCGATTGGCTGGATTTCTGTGGTAAGACTTGGCTTGGCGACTCCGGGCGTCATTCCTCAAAGAAAACTCGCATTTCTTTCGAGATCTGGAACATCCCGATGGCCATGACGACAAAATCCCCTGTCTTTGTTTGCATAAATTATAAAACGGTCCAATATTCTGCCACAAATCGAATTTCTCATCACACAAGTTTCACCTAGGTCCAAAAATCCATCATCTGGGAGTTTCCCCTGGCAAGCGAAGGCCTTCGACCTCTATTTCCTCTCTTAGCCGCCGTTATAGTCAACCCTGGACTGGCAGTATATCTATATATATAAATCACGTCTTTCTCTGCATTTCACTCGCTCATCGGCGCTAGAGACAATGTGGCTGCACAGCCATAGCTTGACTAGCATGTCCTGTCTCGACAGTTGGTGGTTTTGAGATGCACAGACACATTTTGCTTGTCTCCAGGGCTTCAACATTCTGGATTTTCTACTCGTACCTGGACACGCTCGAATATTACCCGAAACGGCCAAGCGTAAACTCACCCAACAACGGCTCCACCTCGGAGAAGCCGTTCGGCATCACTACGTACTAGTCCGTACATTTACCTGCGATTAGTTCTGACAACTCGAAATAATTTGTTGATGCCGTATTTCCGGAAATACCGTGCCAAAGACATGAAAGCTATATCTCCGTGGAGCCCGGGCATTTTATTCGATTCTGGAAAACATGCAAGAATTATTTATTTCATGGCATATTTCCAAGGACGATCGCTGATATATGGCTATCAGGTCAACCTGGGTCCTCAACAAGTTTGAATTTCGACTCCATTATCCGATCGCGCTAGAACCAAATCAGGCAATAAACGAGCGACGTTAGGGTCCTCAATCGGCCCATCTGATTGAAAACCTTATAGCCTTGCTCATAAACGATAACTATGTTTGCTGCCTAGCCTTGGTATCCAAGATTGGTAGCTATTGAGCGTTGCGAGTTTGCTCTGACAACTCGATCGGCCTCGCAGATGCTTCTGTGTCCGCTTCAGAGAGGTATAAAGCTCCAGGGTGATGGCCATCCAGAATCTTCAATTCCAGTCAGGTATTATCTTTCCAAGGCTCTCTACGCTTATCAGCCATCAATTTTTACTTCGGCATCATGCATTTCCTGCATCTACTTTACGCCTCACTTGCCGCTTTCATGTTGGAAGTGAGAGCTTCAAACTGCTCTCCGTTCCCTTCTTCGGTGGTCGAATTCTCTTCCGGATTTGAACAGCCAGAGCCTCCCTCCATCAAGGCTGAATATGGGACCAACTTCATCCAACACAAGTGGTAAGTCGCAAGGAATAATGCCCGGGTCTGGTTGGCTGGTGATTCTGACGAAATTCCAGGAATCAAAATCTGTCGCACATAACGACTGGTTATATCAGGAATTCCCCATCGCAGCTTCTTGTGCGTGCTGATGAAGCCTACGATGGAACCTTGGCATCTTCCGTCTTCAATTACGCCAACTCTACCAAGGAAGGACTGGTGGACAACACGCTTACCAGTTATGATGAGTCTGGAAAGCCAACTGTGTGGAGGGGGGTTCGTGAACTCGAATTTTCCTTTGTTTCCTGAAAGTTTTCTTATCGACAATGATGCCGTTTTTGGTGGGCTGGTTGATCGACAATTTAATGATGGGCGCGTTGCAACGGTGAGTAATATAACCCGGACTTTTGTTTTATTGAATATAAGTGTAAATCTAAAGCTAATATCGCGTGCCTCTAGTGGAACATTATGTACCAGGGGGCAATCCCTGTCACAGTCTATGTGAACAGCTGCAACATCATGGTTGGGTACGACTATTTCTCCCCAGGTCTACGTACAAGGGTCATCACCGAATACTTCAACATTCAGGCCTAAGCATACCGTGCTCAGCAATGTGCCTTCAGGATGATTGGGCCACACACTTGAGCCAAATCTTGTGTGGTAGGGTAGTTTCGGTACCAAATAGTGTTCCGAACCAACACCGTTGTCAGATAGATTTTATCCTAGAAACCCCAATATAAATCAAATTCAAACCTCAATAAATGCTCAAAAAATTAGAAGTTGATTCTAAGAGAAAATGTGCCACATAGATCCGCGGCGAGTGGCTAGTCGATATCCGGATGTTGATTTGTCAACTATAGAAGATCCTCCTTAAATAAATGACATTAAATGAATAATATTTCTGAGTACACTAAATTCCGGTCTCAATTAGGCTCCATCGTATACTAACTGGATCCGCACTTTCAAGTGGCTGTGCTGGCCAATGATTGGCTCTGGCCAGGTGATACGCGTCACATGACTAAAAACCGACTTAACCCCGAGATTCGGCTTCACCCTTTTGCATGTCACTGGGAATTCAATGATGACAGAAAGTCAGTCTGTAACGCCGACCGAACTAAAGAAGCGTCCCATTGGGCCTCTGGATAGGCGTAGAAACACAAGGCGCTGTCGGTCATGTGCGAAGCTACGGGTCAAGGTTCGAACATTCCTCATTCTACTTGAACAACCAGCTTGCTTATTTATGAGTAGTGCGAAGGGGGGCCGGCCTGTCAAAGATGCATTCGGACGAAGACTATCTGCGAGTCGCAACTAGTCCAGCAGCGATCGATTCGATTTATCCATGCCCCTAGGCACGATTTACCTTCTGCAACTCCTTTGCAAATGCGAAGAGATGATGACGACATATACCTAGACCATTTCGCATCTTTCCTTCAACAATGCGACTTTAGCAGAGATTTTTCTGCCAGTACTGGGGAAATAATGGCAATCGTCAGCCATTATTCACTACTTTCGAACATCGCGATCGCAATCGGTGCTTTGGATGCCAGTAGAAAAGGATCAATCAGATCATTCACTGGGACCGAATCGCCTCGGAATATTGCATTCCGTCGATGTGGTATATCATTGAAATATCTTGATGCGGCAATTTCAACGACAGCCTCGGTCTTTAGAGAGGATGTGTTTTGGAGTACTTTTCTTCATGGACTTTTCGAGGTATGGACATATCCGCTATATCAACACCCCCACTAAGCATCTCCATAGCTGATCGCTGAAAATTCCGGCGATTCATTCGCAACACATATGACCTATGGCCTATCCAAGATGATGCTTCTATTGCAACCCGCCGATCTGCTTTCAAAGCCCACGAAAACTTTGATCGATGTTTTCTGGCTTCTCGAAGCCAACAGGTTGATTATTTATGGAGATGATACATTAATTTCTCCGGCAGAATGCCAATGGCACTCATCATGGGATAATTGGCCAATTGCAATGAAAGCTATCATCACACTGATGATAACGGCTGCCACATTTGCTCGGAGGTAAGTCAATTATAACCCGCTATTGGACGCCGCTAATAATTCCAGGCTTTTCACGAGAATTGAGAGCATTCCGGAAGAGGTTAGATGCGTTGATCCTGGTTTGGACTGTCTCACGAAAGAAGGAATCGAAATCAAAGAAGCTATTCTCAACTGTAAAGAGATAAGCAATTTAGGGGAAGCGCAGACAGACCCTTATACCCGGTTGGCGGTAATCATACATGGCGCTTTGCTTCTATACCATTGTCGGAATTTTACTTTCTATTCGTGCTGGGAAATGCGCAAGACTCCTCAACTTTATCAATGTGAGATTGATACGCAGGTGACCATGATTCTCTCACAGTCTCAAATCATTTTGTCCAACACACATATTCCCGGCGTTCTATTGTTGTTTCCACTGCGGATGGCCGGCACCCACGTTAAATCCAGCACCTTACAAGGGGAGGTACTGGACATCCTTTACCAGATCCGCCGGAAAGGATTTGTCATTTCTGATAGAATCGAGGGCGATCTGCAGGATTTTTGGCATCATGAATGGACCACAACGTAGTGATATGAAATAGAAATGTGAATCCCTCCCCTGGCAGAATTTGGACAAATAGCTGGAGCTTTTATGTTGATATATACTCGTTCAACTGGTAGTAATTTTGGCCCCGGGAGCTATACGGGATCACTTTCGTGTTTTGTATTTATTCCACGTTCAAGTTTTGAAAGATATCTATTAGCCATATGAGTTAAGAGAATTATATTTCGCACTGACAGCATATTCAATCAATTTATCTCAACTGTCTGGAGCCTTGCTAGTTTTACAAAATTCGGAGGATCCACCAGTCCCCATAGAGTTAGTATCCTCGGGTTTAAGGGCGAAATCGTACCCGAGTTTTTAGGACCATGACTCAACCGAGTAATTAAAATAAAATCCATACTCTGATCTGATAAAAAGCAAGTCATTATGGCAAAGCCATTGCTATCCCATTTGCCCAACGAGCTCCTTCATCTGGTGATAGAGAATATCGATGCTCCTTCGCGTTCCGCACTCGCACGTACATGCCGTTCGCTGCACGCCGTGGCAACCCCACAGCTCTACGGCTGTGCGCACATCCAAAAAGGCAAGAGCAATGAGTTCATGCGCACTATCTCAGATAAAAATGAATATGCCAACCTGGTCCACGAAGTCAAAGTAGCATGCATGCGAAGACTTTGGCATTTCCCCCTGTCGCATTGTGCCGTGTCTCGATAAACTCCAGAACCTCCAGAGCCTCGCGATAATTGGGGGTTACTGGATGTGGGATACTGATAAAGATAACGGAACTGGGGAGAAATGGAAGACTCTTGAGAGTCTTCTATATAGTTATCTCAAAAAGACGTCATTGGAAGAGCCTATCGGTAGCAGGGTGTCCCAAAATCTGCGGTCGTGTAAGTTATTGGTACCTATGAACAAGATGGAAAACCAAAAGCAAACGAAAATTAATAGTATGCTCACCAAATATATAGTAACAATGGACCGTCAAGAAAGAAATCTCGATTCAGCGGCTCTTCATTCCTCCCATGCTTTCATCATCCCACAACTTCATACTCTTAGGTTACGAGGTTTTCAGATAGATTCCGACGATATCGAAGTCAAGCCTGAGTTTGAAAGAATGACAGAGCTTAAATCTCTGCAAATCGAAAGATCTTTTGTCTCTTTCAAGGCTTTAGCAACGGCTTTACGTGCTCCGCGTGCATTGCAGTATCTTGGTATCGTGCATACAGAAGAGTACAAACACCACGAGCTCTACTCAGCCGATAGCACGAGCTCTACTCAGCCGATAGCAATAATGCAACCATGCAAGAATTCATGGACGTACTACTACTGCATCGCCAGTCATTGGAAGGAATCAAAATTGATTATGAAGAGATAATCTTTGGAAAGTGGAATGATGATCTATACCCAGAGATCAACACTGCGAGTTTCTTGCCCTATGCAAAGGAGTTTCCAAAGCTGAAGCGCTGGGAAGGATGTGATAACTATTCTTTGAGTTTCTTTTTAGGCGATTATTCTTATGCGTCGGACTTGGAAGAAGGGACAGGGGCTGAGGACTCGGAAGGAGAATTTGAAGTAGCATGATGCACTTTAGTATAATGTATAATCCTAGTGGTTGGTTTTATCCAGTACCAACTTGAATATATATTTCAAGGTTCACCGCTGTGTTCCACGACAGTACGTGATGGAAAGTAGTAGTTACTAGTAGTAACCTTGTAGGTTTACTACTGTAATCGCCTTACTGCAAATATCTGCCATACGAAATTTCGAAGCTTGAAAGAGTTCTGATTTGGAAATAAAATCCGATATTTTTCGAAATAACTCCCATCAGCAAACATGGCTCACTGGAAGGTTGATTCGCCCCATCATTCAGTCACGTGGGACATATCCAGTCGATCTCACGCCTCGGCCCTCCTATCCCGCCGAAAGCATCTATTACTATACTCAGAATCTTGGAACTTGAATGCTTCCAGATCGGGATAACTGCGAATCCAAGAATGTATGAGAATGACACATAGCCGACTCACACCTGGACCATGCCGCCTCGCCGCTCCCATCAAAAGTCTCACACGGGCTGCATAACATGCAAGCGTCGCCATGTCAAATGCGACGAATCAGGTCCACCCTGTAAGCGCTGCAAAACAAGAGATGTAAACTGCGAATACGCAGAGATCACACCTCGTCCACAAATATCGCCAAATCCAAGTCAGGATATAACAGAAGCAGCATCGCCAGACCCCCTCATCTCTTGCCCGATATTTCCCGCCAATGCCCACCACTTGGATCTCCAACTCATGCATCGATGGTCTACTAGTGCTTATAAAAGTTGTTGCACACCTGGTTCCGGTGACGACAAACTCTGGCAGTTAACCGTGCCCGCACTAGCGCTTCAATACGACTTCCTCCTAAACGGGATACTCGCACTATCGGCCTTTGAAAGCGCCAATGCTCTACTATTACATCAAAACGACGAGGAAGAGAATTCAAATCGCGAGAAGTATACAAATTGCGCAATTGAGCATCAGATTATCGCACTATCCAATTTTCGCACCCAACTCTCTTCGTCCAGTCCATGTGCGGACCACAGAGCTGCAATTTGCTTTTCTCTCATGATGATGGTACTCACATTTGCATCCGTGCGCTTCGGGAAGCCACTAGAGAAAGATATCGTTGAAACGGCCATTGCTCATTTCGAACTTGTTCGCGGCGCTGTGCAGATTGCAGAGAGTGATGAGGAACACCGCGTTAGTCAGAATGAGTACGCGCAAAGGTTGACGCCGTTTCAAGATCTTCCCCTCACGACCTTGGATCCAGCTATCGCAAACATAATGGCCGACGTGAGAGAATTGAACGACGAAAGAATCGTCCAGACTGTCCAGGACACATCCGAGCGGCGAAAAGAGCAGGTCGCCCTCTGGGAGGCTTGTAAGAAGGCTTTGAGTTTGTTGCAGGACTGTTTTGAGAGATGTGTCGGTCCCGTTTATCGAGGTTATGCCCTTGGGTGGTTGAATATGGCGGGCGAGGAATATGTCCGAGCACTGAAAGGCAATGACAACGTTGCGCTGCTGATATTGATGCTGTGGGGTGTTCTTGTCGAGAGGTTGGGCAATGATGTATGGTGGGCGCAGGAATTTGGAAACTCGTTGGTTGATGAAATTTCGAATGAATATCTCCGGGATGCTTCATATCCATCAATACAGAATATAATGCAAAGGGTGCAACAGTTAATATGAAAAACAATCTATGTTCTTGATAGGTACTAGTATTATAGAGGATGCTAAGTAACGAAGTCAAATGATGACCTCGGACTGTTTTCTATGAGAAGAATCAACCAAGCTTGAACCTCTTGTATAGTATTGTATTTAAAGCATGAATCTATTTTGAAAACTTGAATAATGGGCAGGACTAAGTTATCTTTCCAGCGAAAACCAATCGCAATGTGTCAAAGTCATGCTTCGGGTCGTGATATTGATCGTGCTCGTATTTTACGAACACGAGCTCACCCGACCTCCGAACACCAGCGATCGCCACCCCATGGCTAGGAACTATAAAAAATCGCAAAAAATCCAACAATTAAAAAATAACCAATTCCTTCCCTAATCCGCCAAAATTCACACATGCTCGAAAAGCAATGCAAACCTCAACATCACTCCTTATCCGCAAAATGGCAACAACCCGCACAGGTATACCAACAGCAAGCCTAAAACCACGCTCTTGCTCCCCACCATCAATACCAAAACCTTCCCTCAAACGAACAAACACAACTCAATCCTCGCCAAAACTCCCACCACCACCACATTTACTCAACGAAAAACTCACACTCCCCTCCGGCCAAACCTTAGGCTACGCAATCTACAACCCCCAACCACCGCAATCCGCATCATCCTCTACCAAAACAAGCTCCAAGCCCCTAATCTACCTGCACGGCTACCCCTCCTCCCGCCTCGAAGGTCTAAACTTCAACACCTGGCCAAAAAAGCACAACTTCACCCTAATAATCCCCGACAGGCCAGGCTTCGGCCTCTCAAGCCCAGATCCATCCCGGACACTCCTCTCCTGGACAAATGATATTCGCGCATTGAGTCATCACCTGCATCTATCTAGTTTTTATATCCTGGGTTGTTCGGGTGGAGGTCCGTATGCGCTTTCTTGTGCGCATGCGTTGCCTGGGGATATGCTTTTGGGTGTGGGTGTTATTGCGGGATCGCCGTCTTGGTATACTAGCACGGATGTTGGAAAAGCGTCCTTGAATGCAAAGGATGTTACGTTGAGTAGGCGGGTTTTGGCCTGGGGGAGTCTTTCTTGTCCGGGGTTTATTGAGCGGGTTGTGGATGGTGTACTTGGATGTTTGAGGTGGGCTGTTAAGACGGAGTTTGTGGGTGGGTTGATTGATCGGTGGATTGAGGGTGTGAAACAGCAACCACAAGAACAAGAACGACACATCGAAGAAGGCAGCGAAGGAAATACACGTTCAACTGGATCCGAAAAACCAAATCCCAGTTCAAGTTCCAGTCTAGAGGAAAGGGACTTCCAAAAGCAAGATCCACCCGAAACAGACGAACTATCACTATCAATCACAGAAGCCCGAAACAACCTCCTATCATCCTCCCTCGAAGCCTTCACGCAAGGCTCACGCGCCACAATCCAAGAAGCTCGACTACTCTCTCAACCCTGGGGCTTTGAACTGGAAGATATACGGTATGACGGGATTAAGATCTGGCATGGCGTTCGGGATATAAATGCGCCGATAAGTATGGTGCGGGATATGGTGGAACGGTTACCGGAAAGTACTGTTTTTACAGAAATCGATGCGGATCATTATTCTATGGGTTATTTTTTTGAAGATGCTTTGGTTGGATTGTTGGACTCAGGGGGGGGGGGGGATCTCAAGGGACTTGAAGGAAGACAGGGAGTCGAGGACATAGAATCCTAAGGGGAGTTAGGTGCTAGTACAAAAGTACTATTTAAGGGCAAGGGTAAACTAAGCTAGGCTGGAGGTAGTCAGATAGTTTCAGCTAAACAAATCAGGTTTCATGTTACTCGCAAAAACCACACCCTCCAGGGCTAAGGAGGCACAAAAAATAGCAAAAACCGACAGCTGGCGGATTTGAACCGCCGCCTCCGAAGAGAATTGATTTCTAGTCAATCGCCTTAGACCACTCGGCCAAACTGCCTTAAGATGCAATGGGGCCAAAAAGTGTGCATCAGGAATATGAGGCGAGGATTTTGCAAGGGTTTGCTTTCCTTGCTGCCTTACAACGTGAATCTACTGGTCCTTTCCACCACGCTCTCGGTAGCACATTTCTTTGTAAGGTTTATTTATTCAGGACTGATAATTTACTATACGAACTGCATGGTCGCGAGTTTCCGGATTGTGATGAATATTGTAATTTTTTTTAAAAAAGGGTTAGCTTTGCGCTAGGTTATATCTACAGGGTACATCATGTTGATCTTGGTAATGAGTATCCCATATCCATGTCCTGTGTAGTGGGAAAAAAAACTGTCTGGCATACCACTAGGTACTGGGTACTATAGTATACTACTAGATGAATTTAGTTCGAACCTTCTCTAGCCCACCTACACAAGCAAAAAAGTCTACAAGAATTGAAATGACATGAGTAGAAAGAATCCAATGAAAACCTTGGAAGGAAAATCAAATTAACAGCGCTAACCGGAAGAAATAAAAAAACAAGCCTTTGCACAAGAAATAAGGAAATGAAAATGAAATAAGGATATCACAATACTCGTCCAATCCATTCATCCAACCATCCAACCAGCCAGGCATCCATCCAATCAAAGCAAAACAAGACTGTAGTCCGAAGCTAAACCCAAGAAAATTACCCAAGTGTCATGTATCAAGGTAATTTCCCGGTCAAGTTAAATACTTTCTTCACTTCCCCCCAGCAACCAGCACATCACATAAATTACATCAAGCACCCCCTCACTGCCCACCAGAACTAGGCTGACGTTTACTCAAAAAGCTCCGCCGAGGCAACTTCCTCGAATCAGGACTCTCAGACCCATCCTCCAAACCCACACCAGTCGTAGAATGACTAGTCGTAGGACGGAGACTTCCAGCCCCAACATCCGCAGGAACAAAACTCGACCGCAAAGTAACAGTCCCCTCACCAACCGGGAAGGACTTCTCAACATTCTCCTCGGAGCCCTGGTTCGCGACAAAATAAGGCGCGTCACCGAGGACAGTATCCGAGCCGAAAGTCGCGTGGTCCACGACTCGAATTTGATACTGCGTGTCCGCGGTGGTGTGGGTGATTTTGAACGTTTCTTGGTATTGGATGATACCGGAGGAAGTCTTTACGGCCTTTGTCTTGAATTCTTTGCCGTTTTTGCTGCCTTGGGCTTTGACGATTACCCGGACGTGGGCGTTGCCTGGGAAGCCTGTTGCGTTGGCGACTGTGATATTTGCTGTGCCCGTGTCACCGCTACCGGCTGCCGTGCTGCCGCCGATGATGCTGAGACGATCGCCGAAGGCGGATGCTGTGCTGCGGTTGCGGCTGTGTTCTTTTTGAGGGGTTGAGGGGGTTGGCGAGTGGGTGCCGTTGGAGGGTTGGTTGTTGTCTGTGAGGGCGGCGGCGGGGGTGAGACCGCGTTCGGCGTGGGCTTCTTCTTCGTCAAGGGTGCTGTTTACCATTGAGGCGTCGTCGTCACCTTTGTCTTTGTTGCCGAATCGTGACATGACACCGTGCTTGAGGAAGGATGCGCCGCGGACAACGTTGCCGCCAACGAAGCCTACGCCCTTGACAGGGGCACCGACAATCTTGCCGGGTACGGCAAAGGTACCAGAGAAGGTAGAGGAGCCTTGGCGGGAGCGCACAACGTAGCTTGGCTTGAAGAGGAGGTTAAGGTGGATGGCGCCTGATTTACCGTTCAGGGGAAGGTGAACGTCAGCGGGCTCGAAGGGCGTTAAGCTTTCAAGATCAATATGTGAAGCACCGAGGAAATCGGCCTTGTCACCAAAGTCCCAGTCATACACATCGACGTGGAAGTCGGCGCCGATGCGAGTCTTGATCGGGGTCTCGAAATATTCATTCCAGGCGGGGTGGAGGGTCTTCTTCTGGACCTTGGTCTTGTAAATTACCTCACCATCATCGCCGATGCGGAACTTGCAGTACGGGTCACTGAAGCCGTTGCGGTCGGCTGAGGGGAGGTCGGCGGCATCCATGACCTTGACGCGGAGGGTGCCCATGTTGTTGATGCTCTCCCGGGGGTCAAGCTTCATCTGAACGGGGATGTATCGAGCGCTAACAGTGACCTTGCTAGACTCGCCATTTGTAGCGGGAAGAACAAGCTCGGTGGGGTTGTACTAGTGGGGATTAGCATGAGACTTTGTAAATAGCGGGAGAAGTGATGTGGGAAGAGAAGACTTACCAGGATGCGCTGAAGCGTGGGCAGAGTATCACCAGTCAGCTTAGCAACAGTGTGCTCCTCGCTCGAATCCTTGGGATCGTCCTTATTGACCAAACGCAGGGTAATCTTCGAGAACTCAAGCTCTCGCACAAAGGCCTCGCCGATATCAGAAGAGGTGAGAGTGTTGGAGTGGATCTTAGGAGAGACATAGGCAGGGAACATGTAGTCGTCCATAACGACCTCCAGCTGCACATTGGAATGCGCAAGCTTGCCCTCGTGGAACTTGAACACAATAAAACCGGACTCGTATTTGGCAAGGTCTTCCGCAGCAACGTAAGTCCTGGGATGCTCTTGATCGATCGGACAGAGGCGGTCTCCGAAGTGGTTGTCGCGGGTCGAGAGTTGTTAGTCTCAAGGCTGGGACGGCCGTTGGTAGTCGCTTCACCATTAGTGACGGCACCGTTAGTTGCAGCGCCATTTGACTTGGAAATCTTAGAAGCCTTTGAGTCCACGCTAGCAGACTTCGAGTGCATGCTCTTGCGGACCGGGGTACCGGGGGTGTCAAGATGAGCAACGTCCTCACTCTCTGCTGATTCCTCAACCTCATCTTCAGGGTTGACGACAGGCACAGCAGGGAAGAAAGAGACGGTATAGTTGATGTGACCCTTGACACCACCCTTGCCAATGCGCAGACCGCTGCTGATGAGTTGCTTCTCGTCGTCGATTTCGTACTCGCCCGGGGTCTCAGTCTCACGAACAAAGTCGGAAGCCTTGAGCTCTGCCCAGCCAAGAGTGCGATCCTTGTTAATGGTCTCCTCGTCCATAACCTCAATCGAGAGCTTCTCGCGAGCGCTGCGAATGGGGACGTACACAACCTCGTCCCACTCGGGGTTCAGGTTGTTGCGGAAGGTCACAGTGCGACCTCGGGTAATACCTGAAAGCAAAATACGAGCGTACGGGTCAGACTTGCCCATGGCCTCCAGGTTGCGAAGATCGGTGGCATTCTTGAAGTGGAAACGCATGACACCGATGGGGTCGACGTATCCAGCACCTCCCGCGATGGCGCCGAGGGCAACGGGCTTCCACTGCAGTTGCAGCTTCGCACGTCCACCGTTAGCACCGTGCAGATGGAACCAATCCTTGCCCTGCTCCATCATCTTGATCATATCGTTCATCTTGATCTGGTAACGGCCGATGATGGGGTCTGCCATGAGGTCACGGTCATCCTTGATGATGAGACCCAGGCGAGCGGTCTTGCGATCAGTAACAAGGAACTCCTTAGATGCGTTCTGGAAGATAGGGTTGTTGGTTCGCTTCAGCTTGTTGGTGATGTGAATTTCCTTTCCGTTCAGAAGCAGCACACCGTATGGGTTCAACTTGCCGACCAGACTCTTGCTGCCATCCAGATCCTTGGCCTGCTCGACGGTGAACTGAGCAATACCAGTGTTCACCTCTGGTGGGGGCTCCAGCTCTCCGGACTCGAGCTTGCGACCCTCCAAAACAGGGAAGAATCGAATATCGGCCTGAACAGCGCCGCGGTGACGACCGCTGGCCGTAACCTCGAGGTAGATACCTTCGTGAGAGGGCTCTTGCTCAAGCTTGTCCAATCCAAAGGAGGCAGTTCCAAGTTCCTTATCCTTGCGGTACTCGTTCCAATCGTATGGGGTGATGGTGAGGGCATCGGAGAAAGAAGTGATAATGACGTAGATAGTCTCGTTCCAGCGCGGGCTGTCGGTATCGTGGATGGTCTTGGTGCGGCCCAATTCCTTGCGGTTGTTCAACGAGACGACGGCGTAAGGGTCGGGGGTACCGGAGAACTTGTCGGGGTTCTTCAGCTGTTGAGCACCGTGCAGCGTAACTGCAACAACACCAATGGCTTGATCGACGGGATTTCCCGCCAGCATCTTGGCGATTTCGATGGGGAAAACGTTGGGGCTGTACATCATGGGTTGGAGGTTGTTATGAATCTGCTCCTTGATGAAGTTCTCGAGGCCCGGGATGAAGTTGATATCGAATCCAAGGTGGTCACCACCGAGGGGCTTGCAAACGTAGTCGAGTTCGGGTTTATCCAGGAAGCAGACATCAACACGTTCAATGTGAGGGAAAGGAATCTGCAGCTTGACCTTGACGCGCATTAAACCGGAACAAGCCATGTCCTCGACAATGACGTCCAGACCTTTGCTAACAAGACCCTTTCCGAGGCGGACTTCAAGGACAACCTTGGGGTTAATCTTGTCCTTCAGCTGACGAGCCGTCAAATCCATCACATCGTTGGGAGTGAAGCTAAACTTCCAATCCATAATGACGGTGTCGGGCTCAGTCTTGGGGTAAGTCTTGACATGCTCGAGTCGCGGGGGCTTCGTACCCAGGACAAAGGTCTTAAGGCGTAGGCTGTCGAGAAAAGCAGGGGTCGAGGTGCTCAGAACCTGATCAACAGAGTTGATGATAGTATCACAGAGAACCGGAGCATAGATGGGCCAGAATTTGACCAGGAAGCTGTTAATCCACTCGAGACTCTCGTTATCGGTCTCGAGACGAGCCTTGGACATCTCGCGACTGATATCGTCTCGGAAATTGCGGCGCACTCGACGAATGGAAGTGCGATAGTAGGTACTGCAAGCAGCCATCACTAGTAGCACCCAGCCAACACCACCGCCCAAGGCCGCGATCAGCCAGGAGCTCAGGCAGGCAAAGATGATGATTCCGGCATTGTGATACCAATCGCCGAAGAACTTCTCGGGGAGTCGGCCCTCGAGGAAGGTCTGGTGGTCGAGTAGTGTGCCCTCGGCCTCTTCCTCTTCCGTTCGCTCTTTGTGGAACTTGGGTTCCCAACCGGTGCGGTCGCGCGCCCATCGCATGTCGTCATCGGCGCCGGGTTTGCCGTCGGTGGCATTGGCATCTTCGGCGATGAGTGCGGTCGCGGATTTTGGGGGCGGAAGGTCATAATCTGCTTTGCCATCATCCTAGGAGAGGTGAGTAAACTGGTCGTGAAGTGGTGGTGTCTCGCGCAGGATGGTGGGGGTGGTAACGCACTCTGTCTGTGATTACTGAGATTCCCTCGGGTTTTTTAGTGTGGTGAAATCCGGGTGGTACCCGCTATTAAGTGAGTATTAGCGTGTGCGCGCGCAAAGACATGGAATGGGTGGAGCTAGGAGGAGCTCGGAGGGAGCTCGGGAAGCTCCCTAGGTTGAACGTACAGCCTCGGCGGCAGCCGCCTTGTCATCTGGAGAGGCATCCGGGTCGAATTGATATGCCGCGGCGCCCGCCTTGCGCGACTCATCGACTAGGGTCTGCTCGACGGTGTCGGGGTTGACCTTGGACTCGGGGTCTTGCTGCAGCTCGGTTGCGGCCTGGATCACCCCCTCCTCCCTCAGCTCGGTCTTCTCCGCCTCCAGAGACGCCATCGCGGCGGTCGGATCGAATGTGTTAGTACAGGCGAGAGGATAAGGTAATGATGAGGTCGTAGTCTGGGGAGAAAATGGTGGTTAGGAGGTGGACTATGTCGGCTTCAAAAGTTCCCATGGGCTGATGGTGGGACGGGGCCCAATCGGACCAATCCGGTCGCTCAATGTGAGTCCGAGTCCGGGGATTGGAATGTTGTGAGGGGAGAGGGAGAGTGGTAGAGGTGGGCGCTTACAATGGCGGACTGGGGGGAAGCCCTGGGGATGGAAGGAAAAGTGAGGGTGAGGGTGAGGGTGAGGGTGAGAGTGGAGGTCGTAAGTAGAGTAAAGAAGAGGAGAGGAGAAGAGAGGAAGTGCAGAAAGTGCCTGGGGAGGACGAGGAAAGAGGAAAGAGGGGAGAAGCCAATTGGAAATGGGGCAGGAACTACCCAGCCGCTTGCGTCAAGTTGTACTCGCAGTACTTGCAGTAGTGTGGCTGGGTATTACTGAAACGAGGATAGCAGGGCAGAGGACCCTATGGTATTGATTGTGCACCAAGGAAATAAATTAATGAGATCAGAAATTGCCTGCCCTGTAAGCTAATGGAATTGGTAATTACACGATGCGATCGACTGGGGCGATCGGAGATGGAGATCAGTGACGTATTAGCTAGTTGATCGGGTATAGTAGTATAGTACGGACGGAGGAAACCTGTGAATAGTATTTAGTATTTAGTATAGTATTTAGTATAATACATACTTCTCAATATAATATTACAACGCCTAGTATACGGAATACATACTGCCTATATAGACCCCTATCCAAAGAAGAGTAATAGTAATAATACTCCTAACTCCTAATACCCAGAAATGTGAGCTCCAGCCAAACTATTGGTGCACCGCCACAGCTCATTCCCTTTTGGGTAGGTCCACTCTCCTCCTCAGCCAATAGTATACACTTCTGTGGGCCTCTGTGGCTGGGGACAGCCCTACCCTGTCCTTCTCGGCATAGGCAACCAAATATCCGTCCCCTGTCCCTCCCCTTCCCCTTCCCCTTCCCCCTATACTCCGTACTTGCAGCACAATATCAAATATAGAACAACCACATATACCATCTACCCTACACCCCCTACTCGTACTCCCCATATTTACTACCAATTATTCCCTCAACACCCTACTTGTAGTACACGTGGCACCCCCACCGATAACATCCTCCTCCTCGTCCCAAACCCCACCCAACTCGATAGCTGCCAGCAAGGTTTTCTAGCGCCAGTCCGATCCCCGTCCCCATCTCCATCACCATCACCACTTGCAGAGAACTGGGGCAAGCGCCTAACCCCCCAAACCAATCCCTACGCAGGAAAAGGAGCACTCTACATATCCATGCGAAATCTGCAGCAAGATGCATGCAGCCCGAACAATCGGGTTCCGGGTCGGAGTCAATTCTAATTGATACATCACTTTTGCTGAGGGGGCTGGGTTCAGGAACGTGGTGTGCCAGTGGTTGTGTATCCATATCTATTCTGTGGCCTGCAGTAGTAGTACTCGGTACTTAGTACTCTGTACTTCGTAGCTTACCATGGATGGATGGATGTTGTCGATCTTGAACTGCCCTATGTATACATACGTACTACTGTGTACTACTCGGAGCTAACTCTACTCTACTCTACTACTCGTACGAGCCCTACCCAACCCTACTGTCCCTGAACCCACACCGGGTCTACCTAGTACCCAGGTGGAGTTCGATCGGCAAGAGTTCACCGAGGTTGACATGTGTGATGCCAGTGTGGGGATATGGTGTGGCACAGCTGAAATCTCTGCTGGACATTGGTGTTTACTGTATTCCGTACTCCGTAGTCTACTCCGAGTCCGAGTCTGTACATACAGTGTGTATTTTATTTTGAATTCTATTTTTTTCTACGGAGTAGCTCAGCTGGTTCAGTGTTCAGCTCCCTGCGCTATCCATGTTTGACTTTGCCTTGTCTCCACTGTGATCTGTGGTTCGTGTTCCGAGATCTGCGTCAGTATTGCATGCTAGTGCGACTTGGACCTGGGAAAGAAAATACTCGCACTAGGAGGTGTTAGCTGAGATATTTGTGCTGCTATGTGTATATGGATCTATGCCATAACTACGGAGTAAATAAATTGGTTTCTTGTTTCGGACACCAGGTAGCCCAACACATGACCAGGCACCGGCCACGAGGTTAAGCTTATTTCATTGACTGTGCGGGGAATACCACTCAAGCTACACTACTAGTATTATACAGAGTACGACTGGTTACTATAGTAGCATGCACCACTATTTTCTCAGCATACTGTCAAATCATCAATCAATACATGAAGCTAAGCTATAGGTAAGCATAGATGAACCAATGAGTAAACTAAGGTGAACAAAGAATGATATCTGCAAACAGCTCGTCACATCTTAAATTCGTCGCGGGCAAATTTTTACCGGCCCATGCGGATCACACCCGCCGCCATCAGCTTCTGCACACTGATCCGCACCTGCGGGTTCTTCATGTGCTCCTGCAGAGCCGCCGGGTCGCTCTTCGCCTGCTGCAGAATGCTCTGCATGACGGGGTCCTGGAGGATAGACATGATCTAGTAGGGTATTAGTTAGTACACATCCAAGCCAGGGGTGATTAAGATAAGAGGGATGTCATGCTTACCTCAGGATCATTCTGGATACGCTCAGAAGTCTGCTGCTCAGTCTCACCAGCGCGAGCACTGAATTGCGCATCCAGACACTTCTGCTGCTGCTGCTCGATTTCGCGAGCGTGGCTTCCATCATCCTTCTCCGCGGCCTCGGTGAAAGTATCCAGGGCACGGTTAAACTCCTTCATCGCGACAAGAGCCTGGCCCTTGCGCATATAAGCACGGAAGAACTTGGGGTCGCGCTTGATAGCCTCGTCGCAGTCAGTCACAGCCTGGGGGAAGGCCATCAGCTTGACCAGAGCCGCGGCACGGTTCGAGTATCCGCGGGGATCGCTGGGGGCACGCTTGGTCATCTCGGTGAAAGCGTCGACCGCACCGGGCCAGTCGGCTTCCTGGAACTTCTTCTGACCGAGCTCGCGGGCCTCTTCGGCCTTGGAGGGGTCCATGTATGAGTTCTTTTCGTTCGTGTCGCGGGTCTTCTCGGCGGCGCGCATCTTGGTCAGAGCTTCGGGGGTGCGGTGCTCCATCAGGGACTTGTTGTAGGACTCGATGGCCTGGGTGAGGTCACCGAGCTTCTCGTAGGCGGAACCAATACGGGTGAAGGACCTGTGGATGTTAGCTTGTGACTATATATTCCAGTGTGGGCAAGACTTACTTGGCGACAGTCTTGAAGTCGGCGCGCAGGTCACGGCCCTCCTCGACAGCCTTCTTGCAAATCTCAATGGTGCCTTCGTAGTCTCCCTTCTCGAACTTGGCGGCACCGATGTTATTCAGATAAGTGATGTCCTTGTTCAGCTCCCAAGCCTTCTCATAGTGCTCAATAGCCTTGTCGTGCTCCTTCTTCTTATAGAAGTCGTTACCGATCTTCTTCTCCGCATCACCAGCCTCCTGGGCCTTGCGCTTGGCGATAGCCTCCTCATCCTCGGGCTCCGGGGTGGGCTCCTTGGGGGGAGGAGCGGGCTTAGACTGGGGGGCAGGAGGGGCCTCGGAAGGACCACCCTCGCCACCGAAGTTCATGTCGATACCGAGCAGAACACTCATAACCTGGAGGAAACGGGGGTCACGCATCTCCTCGCCAATGGCGTTGGGGTTGGACTTGAGGCGCTCCAGCTTGGCCATGAATTCGCTATCAGCCAGCAGGGCAGAGGTCTTAGGGTTGTTGGCCAGCTTCTCGATCATCTGGGGGTCGTTGAACATGCCGCCCAGACCACCGAGAGGATCTCCCTGGACACCGTCGGCAGTGGCCTCGGCCTGGATAGCACGCTGGGTGGCATCGAGACCGGACTTGGCCTGGGCGTTACCGGGCTCCAGCTTCAGAGCCTCCTCGTAGGAGTCGTAGGCGGCCACTGCGAAAGTCAGCCATGGTCACGCACAGCAATGCTAGAAGCTGCTATCCACAACTTACAGAGGTCTCCGAGACCGCGGTAGGCGGCACCCTTGCGGAGGTGGCCCTTTGACCAATCGCCCTTAATGCCGATCGCCTTCTCGGCATCGTCGAGGGCTTTTTGGTATTCGCTCTGAGCGTTGTAGACAGCGGAACGGTTGGAGTAGAGGATGTGGTTCTCGGGTTCGATCTCAAGGGCCTGGGTGAATTTCTCACTGTCGACTCCCAGCAGACTCGTTAGCGCCCCAGATTTTCACCATACGCGGGGTAGTTTGGATGAAGATGAAGTATGTCTGAGACTTACATGGCTGTGGGGTAGTCCTTGGCCGAGAAGGCCTTGTTACCTTCAGATTTCAATGCGTCCGCCATGTTGGGAATAGAAGATCAGTTATGCAGATGATTGAAGGTGGCCGGGGTTAAAGGCTGAGCATGGTATAGCTTTGGAGCTCCAACCATGAAGGTTCTCGAAATTTCTGTGATGCCTTGATGCCTGAATGGACCTCGTCACCGCTTTCCAGTATTGCTGACTACTCAGATATTCTGCAGCCTGATATTCACCGCCTTCTGTCTATCCAGGCTAACTCATCTGACACCTGATTTCCCAGGCAGTAACAGCCCCGCGCTAAACCCAACTAGAAACGATGATGTCAGCAGTTTTCCCGACGATCGCCCAGTTTTTGGACAGTTGCACCTCTAAACAACTTCGACTTGATTCATCACCAGACAAAGAACTGGTTTTGGCTATTTCAAAGCAGTCAATCTGGTTTAGCTTATTTCCATTCAGTGAAAGGGACCCAAAAAACCCCCATTCAAAACACCCTTGGGAGTCCGCCTCTGATCTCATCTCGAGTCAAAACGGCCGCAGTGACGCAGTGACGAAATAAACTCCCCACTTCTTATTTGTCTCACCGGAATTGGCTTCGACCCCTCCACTAAGTCCTTTGAGTCTTTGAGCTTGACGACTGTTGTGCTCAAATTCTCCAGTTCACCCATTTTTCTCTCCTCAATTCATATCTCCAGTGGTTGCTAACTCGACCGGTTGTGGTCGATACCAATTTATCACACCATGGAGCCCGTTAAGATCTCCGACTCGACCAAGAAGCGTCGCATCGGAGTGCTCACCTCCGGAGGTGATGCCCCCGGTATGAACGGCGCCGTGCGGGCCGTCGTCCGAATGGCTATTCACAGCGACTGCGAGGCCTACGCCGTTTTCGAAGGATATGAGGGTTTGGTCAATGGCGGCAATATGATCCGCCAGCTGCACTGGGAGGATGTTCGTGGCTGGTTGTCCCGCGGTGGTACTCTGATCGGTTCTGCCCGGTGTATGGCTTTCCGTGAGCGTGCTGGTCGCCTGCGTGCGGCGAAGAACATGGTGCTGCGCGGTATCGATGCTCTCGTCGTCTGTGGTGGTGATGGCAGTTTGACTGGTGCCGATGTCTTTCGTGCCGAGTGGCCCGGTCTGCTGGAGGAGCTGATCAAGGTTGGCGAATTGACTGCGGAACAGGTCGAGCCCTACAAGCAGTTGAACATTGTCGGCCTGGTTGGATCGATCGATAACGACATGTCCGGCACCGACGCGACAATCGGTTGCTACTCCTCGTTGACTCGCATTTGTGACGCCATTGACGATGTTTTCGATACCGCCTTCTCACACCAGCGTGGATTCGTTGTCGAGGTCATGGGTCGTCACTGTGGATGGCTTGCCCTGATGTCCGCCATTAGTACTGGCGCTGACTGGCTTTTCATTCCGGAGATGCCTCCCAAGGACGGATGGGAGGATGAGATGTGCAATGTCATTACCAAGGTGAGTCGAGTCCAATAGGCCTTGGAAGGAGAGATCTGATCCCGTATCTAACTTTCTTTCGAACAACAGAACCGCAAGGAGCGAGGCAAGCGCCGTACCATTGTCATTGTCGCCGAGGGAGCGCAGGACCGCCAACTCAACAAGATCTCAAGTTCCACCATCAAGGACATCCTCACACAGCGGCTGGGTCTGGATACCCGAACCACCGTCCTGGGTCATACCCAACGTGGTGGTGCAGCTTGCGCCTATGATCGCTGGCTGTCTACCCTGCAGGGTGTTGAGGCCGTTCGCGCCGTGCTAGAAATGAACGCCGACTCGCCCTCGCCCGTTATCACTATTCGAGAGAACAAGATCATGCGCACTCCCCTTATGGATGCTGTGAAGGAAACCCAAGAGGTCACCCAGAAGATTCATGACAGGGACTTCGCCGGCGCCATGGTTCGCCGTGATGCTGAATTCAAGGAATACTACCATGCATACCTAAACACCTCGACCCCGGACCACCCGAAGTTGCATCTTCCTGAGGGCAAGGTAGACAAGCTCCGGATATCCTTTGTGATGTGACCAATTTTGCTAACCCATCACCATAACAGAGAATGCGAATTGCCATCATTCACGTCGGTGCCCCTGCCGGTGGTATGAACCCGGCCACTCGAGCTGCTGTGGCATACTGTCTGACCCGTGGACACACCCCCATTGCTATTCACAACGGTTTCCCTGGTCTCTGCCGCCACCACGCCGATAAGCCCATCAGCTCTGTTCGTGAGGTTAAGTGGCTGGAATCCGATGCCTGGGTCAACGAAGGTGGTTCGGACATCGGTACTAACCGTAGTCTGCCCTCCGAAGATATGGAGGGCACCGCCAAGTGCTTCGAGATGTACAAATTCGACGCTCTTTTCGTCGTTGGTGGCTTCGAGGCTTTCACTGCCGTCAGTGAGCTGCGCCAGGCCCGCGAGAAGTACGATGCCTTCAAGATTCCCATGGTCGTTCTGCCTGCCACCATCTCGAACAATGTTCCCGGTACCGAGTACTCCCTCGGCAGCGACACTTGCCTGAACACATTGATCGACTTCTGTGATGCCATCCGCCAATCCGCCTCTTCCTCCCGTCGCCGTGTCTTCGTCATTGAGACCCAGGGTGGTAAGTCCGGCTACATCGCGACTACTGCTGGTCTGGCCGTCGGAGCCGTGGCTGTCTACATTCCTGAAGAGGGCATTGACGTCAAGATGTTGTCGCGCGACATCGACTTCCTGCGCGATAACTTCATTCGCGACAAGGGTGCTAACCGCGCTGGAAAGATCATTCTTCGCAACGAATGTGCCTCAAACACCTATACCACTCAATTTGTGGCAGATATGATCAAAGAGGAAGCCAAGGGCAAGTTTGAATCCCGAGCTGCTGTCCCGGGTCACTTCCAACAGGGTGGTAAGCCCTCGCCAATGGACCGTGTGCGCGCACTGCGCATGGCCATCAGGTGTGTGCAGCATATTGAGTCATTTACCGGCAAAGACCGCGACACCATCGCCGCCGACCAACTCTCCACCTCCGTCATCGGTGTCAAGGGCTCACAGGTCCTGTTCTCGCCGATGGGCGGCGAAGATGGCCTTGAGGCTACTGAGACCGACTGGAAGCGCCGCCGCCCCAAGTCCGAGTTCTGGCTTGAACTGCAGGATGTTGTCAACGTTCTGTCCGGCCGCTCCGCGTCGCGTACTCAAGAAGGCTGGTTCTGCTACGAGAGTACGTAATTCGTCAAGACAACACTACCAATACCCCCTGGATTTTCTGTTTTCGTTTCTTCCATTCTGCGACGCTGCTCCTTCCTGGCTGGCTAGCTTTTACGACTGACTGCCCACTATTCGCGCCCTTCCAACTCCCCATTCTTGCGTGGCTTTTTTCACTCTTCTATTTCCTAGGTGCTGGATGTTAACATTTCCCTTCTTCTCCCTCTCCAGGACCCTCCACCGTCCAATCTATCCCGTCTATCCCTTCGGTGCCGAACACTCCATGAAGGGACTACTCGGCACCCCATCCCATTCCATCTCACTCCAACTTCCGGAACATCCCCCCATTCTCCAATGGCTTCCAATGAATGATTAGAAGAGACAGCCCATATCGCCAAGAAAAGGCTGCCATACTTCTTCTGCTGATCTGATCTGTCCTACTCTGCTTTATTTCGAGTTTGAGTGACAGCCGACGCCCCTCATGTTTGTATGATGCTACGCAACGCAACGCATGCCCGACATGCCATCTGGGCACAACATTAAACTCGCGAGTCAGGGAGCTTTCTTATTACCCTTTTTTTTTTCTTCTGTTTCATATGATACAATGCTATGTGCTAGATAACAGATAGATCTGTCAATCGCATTTTAGCCTAATATTTCCCAATTTGAACGTAGTTGCATTATTAACTGAAGTAAAAAACGCGAGATCGATGATAGTAGTAGTTAGTATGTTGCCGAAATGTGTAATGTTCCTAGGAAGGAAATGCTCTCCTTTCAACGACGTGATGGATGATCGAGTGTTTTCTAATGGGTAGTCCCAACGAATACTATGTCCAATCAATGCCAGTGCCTAAATGACTGGATTAATCATGAAAAGCGACATGTTTACTTCGAATTATTCCCAACAGCAGCCTCCAACTCATCCAGCAGATCGACGGTCTCTGCGGGACTGGCAATCCACGCCGTAGTTGAAGCAAGGCGAGCCTATACAAGCGACGAATACGTTAGATTCAAGTTGGAAGGTGAGGATCTTTCATCCCCAAAGAACGTTGGAAATCTGACCTTGAAGTCATTCGCACCAGCCGACAAGAACTGATCACCGATATGCAGTGTCTTGCTCGGATCGATGCCATTGAAGTATCGTTGACAGGCACGTACACCCCAAGACTTATCGCCGATATCCACGAAGACATCGTTTCCGCCTGTATAAATGAGATTTAGAATTGAAAGAAATGGAACGGGATATACACAGCACAACGAGGGAAAGGGAGGGAGAGAATAACACACCGTTAAAAGCACAGAAAGGCAACCTAGCCCCAACAGCAGACCTCTCAACCGTATTCTGCACAACAAGAACAGTTTCCTCCAAGAGCTCACGATTGATCCTCACCCCATTAACCGGATAAACACCCACCGCCCGATCCTTCCTCAGCACAGCAGCAGGTAAACTCAACGCATCCTTACAAGTCCGCAAAGCGTTCTCCGCCAAATCAAGTAACTCCTTGATATCATCCTCTCTCCACGCATTCATTTCATCGAGAAGCCACTCTTCACGAGGGACATAGGAAAGTTTACACTCTTGAGTCCTGTCATACCGGAAGAGGAAATTGCTCTCACCACCCATGACGATAATCCCTTCTTTCTGAGATTCGGTGAGATCCGAGCTGCTGTGAACAGCGTCAAGAAGTCCATATAATCGCTCATAATATTTCGGAGCCTCCTCATACCCGGCTGCCGTGACGATGCCGACTTTCCGATTTTGAGCGAGGAGGCGCAGGATGCGTGATATGACCGGGTTGGACGGTGTCAGATTCTTGCCGTCGTCGTATAGAGTTACATCTCCATCAAAGGTGACTAGTTCGACGGAGCTGGTTCGGACTAGACCCAATAATTGGGCTGAATTGAGGGTTAGACGAATGTCGTTGAAGGACGGGGCGACAAAGCGTCTTCGGCTTATGCAGCGCCGCTCGTCTTGGTAGTTAAAGGCTTCTTGAAGATGCAGCGCCGTGAAGAATGTTCCTACAGTTGGCACGAGGAGTTTCAATTTGGATTTTCCAGGGAGTGCGGTCGCTTCGTGGTGGACTTGGTTTATTTGTGTTAGTATTGCGGTGCTTGGTGTTTTGATGTTGGACCCTACTGTGGTCGGAGATCAAATTCTCCACATCCAGCATGATCTCTGCATAGCGCTGGTGTGTGTCGGCTGCGACGGTCTTCAGACCCTCGCTATGATTCTGGTAGATGACGGTGGGCTGGGAGTGCAGGACGAAAGGAACAGCCAGGAGACCCTATTGCGGCTCTTAGCATTGCGCAATATTCGTTCGGAGATACCTCCAGGCAGGAATTTAGAAGCCTACTTTGATCCATTCGATCTATGGCGTGTTAGTGTTAGTGCTGCATTGGACATGGGTTGTATTCTGGGAACCTGCTTACCAGTTGATCACGGCGATGTGTCTACATTGCGGAGTTAATGAGGGGCAAACAAGGGCATCGTATCACATCTACAGATAGGTTGGGTTGGGTACCTTAAGCGCATCTGGATATGATCAGCAAGGTTATAGAAATTAAGGCAGAAGGATTGCGTTGGCTTGCTTACATTCGACGCGATATCGGGTGGTCATGTTGATCGTGGAGAGTGGCTATAATCAAGGTCGTTGAGTGGTGAAGATGACAACAACTCCGAGCTCCGCGTGCACGTCCCTTTTAGCTCCTGTGCGAGGGAGTACGAAGATTTGCTGTGACTCATGTTGTGCAATCAAGGGAGGGGGAGGAGAGGGGGGGTTGGTTTCCGATTGGATTTGAAATCCATTTCTGATTGGCCCGGCCCTCGGACTAAAATGTCAAGCATGACTTTCTTTCATTTATTTTCTTTCTCTTCACTCTGCCTAAGGCTGCGCCTTTCCGACCGCCCAGATTCCTTGCTGGTAAGCTCTTATTGGCTCTCGTTACATTTCGGCGTGGCTATGGGCGGTGACGTGGGAATTGAGGCTTGAGACTTGCCCTGAAGAAGTAATTGACTTGCTCGTGTTATGGACCCCCTAGGTCTAGATCGACTGTACACCAGGCTTGATTGAGCTTAGATGAGCGTTTAATATTATGCGGTCACACTTTTACCTTCGTGAGGCACGATGACTCCCAGGCAGCACTGCCCCTCGGCCTGACCCTGACTCGTATACTTCGTATGATAACAGGAAATTATTGGTAGGAAGAAGGTGACGTGATGACCGGGCGATGTCTAACTCCGAGTCTGACTACCTCTGCGGCTCTCCATGTCGGACTTTATATTTGGGCAAAATCCCATTGAAAGTTGAATATCTACACGAACAAAGACTTTGACTTCTCGTATTGAAACCAAGATCGACAACTTGAACTTGAAACATTCGATTATCTTACTTTTGTATGATATGATAAATACGCTACCAACAATTTTCGAAACATCAAAAATGGAGACTAGTCGCTGGCCAGAGGCCTTACCACCCTATGAACCCTCTCCGGACTATAATCCGACAGACGAAAAGAAAGACCAATTCCTTCTCGAACCCGACTCTTCCGAGCCAGGCTTCGCCAATTCATCAACACTCAGTCGCGGCCTACAAGTACCGTCCCGCACCGCAGCTACAAGTTCCGGATTCGCCTACCCAGAAGAATTATCCCGACACGAAATCTCTCAAGAAAAATGGACAGAATTTACAGCTGCGATCTGTGAAGAAGCCAAGCTCTCCCGTCAACAATGGACCACCGTCGTCGGTAAAGGTCTAGGAACACTCGCACTGGGAGGCGTGATGATCGGAATTCTTGGTGCGATACCTGCCGTCCTGATAGCGAAGCACGCCAGGAGACGACAGGAACAGCGGAATTTGATCGCTTCGATGGCTGGTGCTCGTGGTGAGCGGCTATCAAGGCATCTAGCGCATTGGAATGAAACATTTTTCCGACCTAGAGGGGTACTCATTCGAGTAGATCTACCGGATGAGTACCTGGATGATATGGATATCATGGATCTGCACCGTGGCGGATCGAAAAAGAGCGATGATCGTGCCAGGGAAGACGCAGCCCTTAAAGCAAGAATTGTTATTATCCCCCTGGGTGGATCGGCTTCTGGGAGATCAAGTAGTGACGATGGAAGGAGTCAGTCGCGTTGAAATAAACTAATAAGAAAAATAGCGGGATGTCTGATCTTTTTTATGAGTTCCAAGGTTGATTTGAACTAAAATTGTTAGCAAGGCGTTAGACAGTGTTCCGTGGAAGGCTAGAATTAATGCAACATTTTTGGAATTTTTCTAAACATTACAAATATCATGATATATTATATTAAATCTCGCATTCGAAATTTAACTCCGTGTTTGGCTATTGGCTTGGCTTGATTTAAGAAGGGGCAAGCGGATATCGATTCTGGTTGACTGCCTAGTAGCTTTGGGAAATATAGGAATCGGACCCATTATGCAACCGTGACTTCAACAGAATCCAGTTGTTGAATATCCAAGCAGCGTGTGTAAGCCCCTGTCAACTTTGTATTTGGCCCCAATCACCAACAGAAAAGGGGCAAAGAAAAACAATTTTCGAACAACGCTTGAGAAATTCGCCACGTTGACAATATTTGTTTCTATTCCACATGAGCGACAACTACATTTTATGCATGAAAGACACCAAAGTAAAAAACCCCCCGATGATCTGGGGGAGATTAAATTCATAAAAAAAAGGGATCGACAGGTCTGTTACTGAGTAGATGTGGGGGCATCTACTTCTGCCCCAATTTTTTCCGCTAATCGTTAGCGTGGTCAATGATTGCGATCAAAATAGCACTTAAAGGGGCTAGCGAGAATCATGAATGAGTGACAAAAAATGAATTCCATGATCAAACTCCACAGAGGCTTCTCCCCCTCACACCAATATGTGGAGCGCCCCAGTTTCTTCCCACAACCACAACGCAGGAGGTTACTCTTCCTTCTGCTTGGTGCTGGTATCGCATTCTGCCTGCTGAGATTGAGTTACTCAGCTCCACGCCCATTTGGTCAACATCCCGAGGCATCTCCAGACACACAGCCTGCTGTATCCAACACTCTTTCAACCCACAGCCCACCCACCACTCCAGACACGACGATCCCGGTCGCAAACGCCCCAACACCCTCTCGTGCGAAGAGTCCATACTGCGTCGCTGTCTTTCTTGGTGCATATCGTGAGTACCAGAATGGCGACGATGACTATGACGACGACACATATTTTGTTGGCGCACGAACATTAGTGTATCAGCTCCTCCATGCGCCCACTACCAAATTTACGGATCCAATTCAGACAGATCCAATTCCAGTGATATTGCTGGTGACAAAGGATGTCAGCGAAAGCAAGCGCAGGCGGCTTGAAGCAGATGGAGCAACTGTGATCGAGATTGAAGCAATAGATGCGTCTTGGGCAAATGGACGTTATAAACAGGTGCTCACGAAACTGCGCCTATTTGATCCTGAACTTCTGCCATACGAAAAGGTCTTCGTAATGGATACAGACATGGTGATTACGCGACCAATCGATGCGATCTTCCAGGATGAGGGTTCTCAGCTTAAGGCTATTGACTATAATCGCACAAGCCCTGACACAGAAGTCGGTCGCCTCCCTCAAAAATACATGTTCGCTGCCTCGCCAGAGTCTTACGACTTAGATCATCCATACCCGTTCTCGTACCTGGATCCTCAGAATCAATACTTTAATGTCGGATGCATGTTATTTTCACCATCGGAGGAGATTTATAACTATTATCTAGCAGTTTTGAAGCATCCTAATCTGTTTCGGCATGAATTTCCCGAGCAAGATCTTCTAAACTATGTTCATCGATTAGGCGGACCGATGCCATGGAGCAGATTACATTATTCGTGGCATATAAATTGGCCGAACGAGAACGATATCGAAGGGAAAATGGCGATCATCCATGCCAAGTTTTGGTCTGATGGAGAAAGGGCGATGGCTAGAGAACTGGCAATCAGCTGCATGTCAGAAATGAAGGCATATTGGATTGGGAAAGAAGGGGCTTAAAATATCAAAAGCAATCAGTTCAATACCCGAATTTAGAATATCTCACTTAACAAGCAATGTCATACTCAAACGTAATCGAATACGAATTGTCTACCTGCAATCTAAGACCAAGAAATGTCATATCTTGATGTCATTTGACGACATATGGAGGTTGAAATGAGTTAAAAAACCTGATAGATAATCAATCAATCATCATCCTCTTCAATCACATAGTATGCTTCGACTTCAGCAATGCATGTTTTCGCTGGAATTGTAACTGCAATCGGGAATCCTCCATAGTCCGGCTCATCGTTGGGCATGATCAAGAACTCTCCACTTCTCGTTTCATCGCCGTTGAGTATTCTCAAAGTTTGCAATTGCCCCTTATCATCGACTTCCTTTTCCACTGCGTGGAGAATCCCACAAAAGATTGCCTCCCTAGAAACAGGCCTGAACCTGACCTGGAAACCTCGCCCTACCGCAAGGAACTTAGCATCACCGAGATGAATGACCATTCCGGCTCCTGGCCCGGGCTTTCCGAATACAAATGCTCTCTCAATAATGACTTCAATGTCTCCGAAAACTCGTGTCCACCTTTCGGGAAGCTTTTCAGAAGGTTCTTCGTCGAAAAAGAAACCCATACGATCCTTCGGAGGGGCGCCCAAGAGATACGGAGAAGCCTGAGCAAGGAGTCGAAATTCGCGACCCGCAATCTCAGCTCCAGTATCAATTCCAAAAGGACTTGCTCCAAGAGCTCCATATGTAGCGTAAGCCAACCACATTCTCCGAGCCCCCTTTTCGTCACGCCGCTGTTCCGGAATGAAGAGTGGGTTTCTTTGTTCGGTGTAATGACGGCATATGGTTTCATAGTCATGGAGGTAAAGGTCCGGAGCGAGAAAGTCTAGGCTTTGGGTGTTGAACCGCCATACATCGAGTAGGTGAGGGCATGGACCACCGGATGGATATACACCTGGTTCCACACCACCCCCAACCACAATTGGAACTCCTTTCATATCCAATTGTGAGGGGTCCTCGAAGTTCAACCACGCGTTTGTGTATAGTGGAATCATGTACTTCTTTTTCCCAGCGAAGGCAACACGTCCGACGTAAGATGAAATGTGGTAGGCCATAAAAGCCTCATCAGCGGCCGACCCCGATCCAAAGACAGATTCCCATGAATGAGGGTCAGAAGTATCTGGAAGAGAAAAACGCTTCTTAAACTGAGAGTGAAGCTCTGATGTTCTGAGATACGTCAACAATTCCTCAGGGACTGGTTCTGTAAATGCTTTCTCAGCTCTCCGTGAGCGGTCTCGTGAGTCGCCCAGCAGCCCGGTCTCGTTTTGGACCTGCACCATCAGAACCGTGTTTTCTTCACGGTCGACCTGAGCAAGATGTTGCATCAAAGCCGCAAATGCGCGTGCATCGGCATCGCACCCCTCACTGCTTAGAGGAGTCACCATTTCGAGAGTTCGCATCCTGCCTCCCGCCTCGAGGACTTGGACTCGTGGAAATCTCCTGGTATCGCGCTTGACCCAATCAGGAACATATGTTGAGATTCCGTTTTTGTAGCTGCCAAACCATAAGACGGCGATGTGCATATCGTGTTTTCGAGCCCCAGCCAAAACACGGTCAAGCTCAGAAAAGTCAAATCGACCTTCCTCGGGCTCAATCATCTCCCAAGTCACAGACCCGAGTAGTGTATTGACCCCTTGAGACTTCATCGCGGGCCATACTGTTTCCATATATCGAGCTGAGCTGAGAGATGAATTGTGTAGCTCTCCTGGTAACATGAGGAAAGGTCGACCCTTGACGAAAAGTTGAATGTTGCCATTGTCGAGGCGGCGGAGATGGGGAAGTTGTTGACTGTCTCGGGGCATCTTGTGGGTTGGCTGTAAGTTCACGTTCTACATGAGAAAGAAAATATTTCAGACTCTTGCAAGTTATCTGGGGTTAATTATAGCGTTCTGTTAAAATGAGATAAAAATCGAATGAGTAGCGGAAAGACCTCATGGCTTGAGCAGGACCTTGCAGCATATTGCAGAACTCGGTTTTTCCGAAGTGAGATCTGGATTCGTTCGGACTTTCTTGAGGTTTATCCTGTCTAAACGCGGGGTAATCAGTGCATATTGTCTTTACCTACTACTAGTCACGGATAAATATAATTACTGCGGGCAAGACTTTTGCGCGGGATCCATTACACGCAATTTTTTAGAAAATTCCCGACTCGCATTCCATCGGTCTAATTTCATCAATAGCCTGCTGGTGGTCAAGCTCATCCAACTTTTGCAGTAAAACAGCTAGCTTATCCTGGGGACGATTGCTTCCACCATATCTTTCGCCGCCTGAGATTCCCATCCGTTCAAAATATGCGGCCCCATGTCACGGATCTTTGGTGCCAAACTTTTCCCATTGGCATCAAATACAGCCTGCGGCAGATGGAATAATACCTCGAGAAGATCGTCTATAATCTTTGGATACTCTCTAGATTTGACCTCGTGTGTCCCAAACCTTTGCACAAGATTAGACCGAATGTGCAAACTCGTGACGAATAAGTTCGCGATTTGAACATCATGGCCGTATGTGACATTTGAAGGCCGAGAAAGCCCACCCCGCCATCGAAGTTTGGGCGGAAAATTATCCATAACGAATTGAAGCTTTTCCAAAGACATCTCGACTGTCTGCGTACCGATACATGATTGAGCTTTTTGCCATACCATTAAGAGATCAATCAGACAGTTGAGACCGGGAATGTAGCTTATGTTGCTCTCGAGCCATGTAAAAGACCCGCTTCCTTCAGATCCTATCGGATCGAGCTGCTTGTCTGTTTTATCTAGTGGTCGGGGAAACTTTTTCAATTCATCCTGTTCCAAGAGAATGATCGGTAGCCTGCCCAATATATCCATTGTACTGGGACAATGTTCAATTTAGCCGACGAGATACTAGTCGTAGTAGTGAATGAGGTTGGAAAGGTTGATCGAACATACCACGAACCAGCAAAAATGAGCCAAAATAGACGCCGAAGGATTTGGTTCTCCAAGTTATCCATCTCATGCTGGTGATAGTACAATAAATACCTCACACCAGATGCAGCCTCGCTGAGCGAGTGATATGATCGTATATCGATCAATCCAGGTTTAGAGCTTGAATAAAACGCACTTCCCAGGTTGTACATAGTGATACACCAATCCAGCGAATATGAGGATCGGATATGACTCTGCGTCAGAAGTCGATACTTGTCAATGTATTCCGCGCAGGTTGAAATTTCAACAAGACCGTAATTTTCGCCTGGTAAGGTTGCTCTGGCCGCCGCACAAACACTTACAACCAGAGCGCAGAATTCCGGATTAGTATCTGCTTCTCTGCTTTCCAACCGATGCATGAAATGTCTACGAAGGAGAACTGGAGCAACAGGATGAATTCTGTCGAACCAATCATCCAGGATTTGGCTGATTATTTCCGGCGGCGCAAATGAAGATAACCAGCCACTAGAAACCGAAGCCGGAATTTCTTCGCAAGGACTAGCGACCTGGGCCAAGAAATGAGAATGGCTAGACACGGGAGAGATTATGCCGACCGGGTTGAAGGAAAACGTGTTACGCCCCTGTGTCGAGCCAGAATCGACCTTGTCCTGTTGAATAATACTCCTTGGAGATGTTATTAATGAGATAAGTTCATTGAGATTCACTCATACTTTGACATACCGGGATTTAGGCCCGCGTTTCTTTCGAGGGCGATTTGTAGTGCATTCAATATTGACGAGAATGCACATATGACATTTATCGTTATCTTCATCATATTTACACTAATGCATCATTTTAGTGTTAATTATTACCGGGAGAGATTCATTTCACGTCTTCCGCTTACCTTTGACTTTCGGGAGCGACAACCGTCACAAGCCTTTTGATTCCGAGATACGCCCTTTGGGCTCCTGATGTCGGCAATATCGACGATTTTCTCTGAATCAAGTCGCATCTTTTAGACCAAACCGTTCTGGAATCGAAAAATGGTACCGATGGAATATTCCGAGAAGAATATCCACTGGGGACGCAGGCTCTTTGAAGGCCGCAAAAACTTCGGCTAAATATTCAAGCCACGCTCCTTCGGGCTGGACAGCCTCCCAATTAGAAAGTGTAATGCGGGGTTAAGTCTAAGATGACCTGCCCAATGATACTCATGGAAGACGAGTTCATAGAAATAAAATTTGCTACTAGGCCTTCCCCGCAATTAATCTGAGGTGCTTTGAGTCTGGGCAAACTAGAGGTGAAAGCAGATATCCTCGGAATTGGCCGAAGTACAAAAGCTACAGGGCAGAATGCATTTCAGGTTGAATCTCGAAGAAGCATACCAGATATTATCTTCGCGAAGCCAGACATACCTCTAGCACCATCTGCCTCAGAATGGATCTCCAAAAGAAGACTTTTGTCAAGCATGACCATGTGGAAAATTTGAACGAAACTCAACCCCCACAAGGATCTGATCTTCCAATTTGGAAACAGAAAGAGTTGCGCAAGCTGTACTTAATGTTCCTATTTCTATTCTTGGGATCGACAACACTGGGTTATGACGCGAGTCTTCTGAATGGTTTGCAGACGATGAATAGTTGGCAGGCTTGTGAGTCGACCCAGCTAGAGTTGCCTGATTAGTTTGGTGTTAACGCATTGTAGTTTTTGACCAGCCGACAGGATCTCGACTCGGAATATTCGGTGCGATGCCTGGATTTGGCGGACTTTTTGCTCTGCTGTTCGCACCTTATATCGCGGATGGTTTGGGTCGCAAGCGAGGGACAGCCATCGGGTGCATAATCGTTGTCTTCGGCTCACTTCTTCAAAGCTTTCCCCGGACCGGCAGTGAATCGAAGAGAGACGCGATGTATCTGTGTGGGCGATTCATAATGGGAATCGGCTCGAACATCTCCAACGGAACCTGTCCGCTTTTAATCACCGAGATTGCGCATCCTCGGCACCGCGGCAAAGTCACCACGGTATACAATACTCTGTGGTACGTGGGCAGTATACTTGCGGCTTGGGTTTGCTTTGGGACACTGCAGCACCAGATCGGAAATATTCAGTGGGTTTTGCCTACCGCATTTCAATGCCTGATGCCAGGTGTTCAACTTCTTGCTATCTGGTTCGTCCCTGAAAGCCCTCGATGGCTTATAAGCAAAGATAGGTGCGAAGAGGCTCGCGAAATTTTGATCAAATACCACGGTAATAATGACCCGAATGACGAGTTTGTTCGATGGGAGTTTTCAGAAATCGCAAATACGTTGAGATTGGAAAATGAGTCTTCAGGGAGTGGCTGGCTCGACATGGTGAGGACGAAGGGAAATCGGAAACGATGTGCCTTGATTATTGCAACGGCGAATTTTTCTCAATGCAGCGGCAACGGCCTTGTTTCTTACTATGCAAGTCTTGCTGGATAGTGCCCAAGGAGACGAAAAATATGTGAATACTAACTGCTTCCACAGCTTGCGGCAATTCTTAAGACTGTTGGGATTACCGAGTAAGTTGCGCCTCTCGATTCTCTTGAAAATTATTTGCGACATCTACTAAATCTCGCAGCTCAATTACCCAGTCCTATATTAACGGTGGTCTTACGATATGGTGTTGGCTTGTTTCCTTGGGAGCTTCTTTTCTCGTTGATCGAGCCGGTCGCCGGGTGCTTTTCCTCTTCGCCGGGGTTGGGATGCTAATATCCTTTATCATTTGGACGGCTTGCAGTGCAGTATACGCAAAGACAGAATCAACTGCTTCCGGTACTGCAGTCATTGCGATGATATTTCTTTTCTATGGGGTCGCGGGAGCAGCGTGGCCTGGACTCACAGTGTCATACACCATTGAGATTTTACCATACAATATTCGCGCCAAAGGTCTCACATTGTGCTTTTTTTTCACGGCTCTCAGTGGCGTTTTTAATCAGTGGGTCAATCCACTAGGCCTTGAAAGTCTGCACTGGAGATTTTATTTTGTTTATATTGCTGTGTGAGTATTGATCGAACCCTTGGTTTTCTCACATTGTGACTGACGATCTGCATCCCTTAGTCTCGTGTTGGAGTGTTTGATCATATTTTACTTCTTCCCTGAAACCAAAGGACCTACCCTGGAAGAAATTGCCGTGATTTTCGATGGCGAGCAATCCGCGGCTGGGATTGCGCAGGCCAAGGCATTTGAGAAGGTTATCGCTCATCGGGATACTAAGCAGGATGCATGATATAACTACAAGTATGTCGTAGTATGAAAGGCAATCTCAATTCCGTGTTCTGTAATGTGATCGAATACTCAAAGAAGGTTCTCCCGTGATATATTGCTAGCGAATGGTCTATTTACAAGGGGTATTGCCGTTTGACAGGGGTACACATGTCGCACGGTCGGAGATAAAGAAAAAAGCGGGAGTTGTCAAAAGATGAACTCTGGTCAAGATGAGAGAATGATTTGTTGCTCTCAATCAATCAAGAAATGAAGCTCTGCAGCTTGACCTTATCCAGGATCTGTCCCTCAATCAAGCGCCCAGTTTCGACAACCTCTCCGTTGACGCGTTGATAGCGGACGAGCGCCGGCACATTGTTGACATTCCACAGCGAGCGATAAACATTCTTTGGTTCTTTCCATCTAGAAGTTAACGGGTTTGTTAGCTCAGGGTAATCATATATTCACCAAGATAGATCAGCTTCAAGTTTTGGGTTTGAGAGGACACCTACTCTGGCTTCTGCCCCACTGAGACCATGGCTACCGTAGGCGCATCGGGTGCCGCAAACGCAGTATCGATGTGAGGGAGGGCGGCGCGTACATCGGGGCACCAGGGCTGTTTAGTGATAGCGTCATCGCCCGAGATAAAGGCCAGGAACAGCTTTGAGGTGGATGCCTCCGGGAGTTCGAGCAGCTTCGCAGAAGCCGGCAGGCTGAAATTCCTGATGACAGGCATGGTGGTGGTGGGTCGGATGGCTTGAAAGGGTGAAAGAGATGCTTCGCGGGTAATCAAAGTGATTGGAGCTAGCTGTCAGACTTTTGAAGGGAATCTTTGAAGGAGTTGAGGTGATATCGGGGTGTGGTGGTGGTGAGTCGCCGATTGAGAGGTTTTACGGAAATTCTGCGTCCCCGCGTTTGCTGAGGCCCACTTCGCCCCACGAAGCCATGAAATACTTCACTTTTTGTATTTTTATTGTTTCAACTGAAGATTCTTGCAGGCTAGTGTGTCATATGAGATTAATTAATTTTGATGACCTGAATAATAAAATTATGATCAGCCTAAGTGATCACTGGACTGCTATATTACACTAATATCATCATCATCATCCGCCTGCAGCGACAGAAAGTCGTCAGAAATACCCCATTCATCAGCCAAATCTCTGATACAGTATTCAGTAGCCAGGCCAAGTGAGGTCTCAATGCGGCGCAAAAGACCCACAAGATTTCGTCTTTCCGCTTCCGAAGACAAACATCGTCCAGCGATGTAGAGTGGTTGCAGCATATACTTTTGTACCGCAATCCCAGTCATCCCATTAGCTATGCAGAGAATCTCACCTGAATGATGAATCAAGTCGCGTTGAAGTGCATTGTATTTGCTGAGTAGATCACGCGGCTTATGAGATGACACCGGATTTGCTTCTTGTGGTCCATTGACCAGTTGGAGGATTCGTGCCATATTGTAGAACGCCATGGCGATGGCACAGGTCTCGGAGCCGAACCACGTCTCCGGTATCCTGCAGGAGTATTTCACAGTTGCGGAAGAGCTTTCTGTGATCGAGAAGATAAATTCCGGTGGTAGGGCGTTATACCACGTGTTTAGATCCGTATCAACGCTGTCCCAAAGCGGGTTGTTAGTGCTGACCTTATTGACTATCTTGCATAAGATATAGATGAGAGTGTGAAAAAAGATCATTTCTTGAGTTGACTCATCAATCCGATCAAGTGCAAGCTCTCCAAAGTGTCCGAGAGGCACGCCCATTCTTTGCCAAAGAGAGACATTGTCGACATCAATGCGACATTCTCGGCGGACGGTCACTGTTGGAAATTGGTAAGAAATGACACCTCACAACATTTGTTTCATAGATTACTCACAGCTATTCAGCATATCATTTAAAGCAAAGTACCAGAACGATGCCTCCAATGCCCGTAGCGATTGAGGTACTCGGTAAAAGTTATTCGGGGAAATCGGGAGATCCAAGTGCGGACGTAATAATTTGTTGATACCATCCAAGTGGCTTGTCCAGGCTCGCATTGTTGAATTTAGTTCTTCGTAGGAACTGAGGATACAGGCTGCGAGGATTCGGAATGCCGATGAGGTTGTTTCATTATCGTCAAGGTGATTGTTATCGCTCCCAGGGGAGCGGTAGATCTCACCTGGCGACAAATGATTTTCGATCATGGAAGTCCCATGTGAGATTTGACGGGCCATTAGTAGAATTGCCTTCTCGTAATACTTTGCTCCATACCACTCAAAATCGATGCTCGGGTGAACCGTACTAGATACCAAGATGCTGAATCGACGGCTTGCCTCTGTCGTCTGACTCGAATCTTTTATCTGGCCGAGCTGTTTGGCAGCCATAGCGCAGGCAGAGTAGCGGATAAGAGGGCTATGCCTTGACAGCTGGATGATATATTGACTGAAATAGGACCGTTGCCCAGTACAAATGTCAATCCATTGTCCGCCTAGGCCCGCAAAGTAACGAAGGAAAAATGCGACCTCATTGCGATCAGTTTTGCTTTGATCTATTATTGGACCGAGGATGGTGGAATTCGGTTCAGAGGTATTTCCGGCGACCGTTGGATAATCCTGTGTAACCGCTGGACTGGCAATGACGGGCAAATTTGGAGAGTGCAATGATGAAATTGGAGGCGTATCAACGATCGCATGGGATGTCCCTGGCGGTGAGCATTGCGCCAGTAAGCCTCCAATGGGAACCAATCCCCTCTCCTTCTCTGGCGAGGCTATCGATACGCGATCGTGGGTCGATACTGGCGTTGTTGGACCGTCCTTGCTTCGATTGACTTCTGCCCGTCGAGATTCTAAAAATGGCTAATTAGAGAGCTTATTATTGACAAAGGTAGAGAGAATTGCAGTTCATGAGACATACCATTGATCGGAGACGAATTGTCTTCCTGCGTCGGCCTTGGAGACTTTTGTGAACGGGATCGCGACTTGGTTTTGGTTGGAATCGAAAGGGAATGCGGCCGGAAGAGCCCATCGATGATGCGACAGACACGCCCACTTTTGAGGCATTGCTTGCACTCGGGCCGAGTTTCGTCACATTTGATTTTGCGTTCTCGGCATTCCGGACTGCATCGTTTTAGCAAGTATAGCTGATTGCAATGCCGATCTCAGGCTCGACCACTTACCACCCTTTACGCGACCGGGCCGGACTCTTTCTCGGGAGGGACTCGGGCATGTCAGTGCGTTCACTGTGGTTTGGACGGAGGTATGTGGCCCCAATAGAATGTAACAAATTTGAGAGGTGTCAATCTGTTGATGTTGACTATCGTAAGTGGGGGTGCAGCGGAGAAGAAGGCCGCTTGATTTAACAAAAGCGGAGAATTTGCCGACTTTCTTCTCTCCGCACGACTCTCACCCCAGTAATTTCTTTCGTTCTCCACTTTTTATGTCTATGCAATCATGGAGGGGCAGCGAACGAGCCACGAGGCTCAAGAGTGTCTGAATATTAATGATTCAACCCCGCCCCTTCATCTAAGTCCTCAAAAACACACACATCTCCAGCATGCCTCTTTACAAACCACCTAATGTCAACGCTCCGGTGCTATCCCAGTTCTCACTGGAAGGCAAAATCGTCGCCGTAACAGGCGGCGCGCGTGGAATCGGCCTTGAAGTAGTGCGTGGAATGGCCGAGGCTGGCGCAGACGTTGCCCTTTTATACACAACCAGCACCGATGCCTCTGAATCCGCAGCAAAGATCGCCGCGGAGACCGGTCGCCGTATTCAAGCTTTCCAGTCCGATGTGACCAGTCGCATTGAGATAGACACTACTCTGAACAAGGTCGCCAATGAGTTCGGAAACGGTCGCCTGGATGTGGTCGTCGCAAATGCGGGAACCTGCACCAATCGGCCAAGTCTGGAATATGACGAGGGCAGTTGGGCTCGTGATAATCGTGTCAACTATGACGGCGTGATGTGGACTGCTCAAGCAGCGGGAAAGATCTTCAAGCGCCAGGGTAAAGGTAACCTTATCATTACGGCCTCTGTCAGTTCTATCCTGGTCAATATTCCACAGACGCAGTGCGCGTACAATGCCTCAAAGGCAGCGGCCGTGCATTTAGCCAAGAGCTTGGCTGTTGAGTGGACAGAATTTGCGAGAGTAAACTGTATCTCGCCTGGTTTCATCATGACGGAGAGTACGTTCTCCCGCTAACTCTACGTCATGTCAATAATGCTAAGAGAGACTACAGTGCTTACCCAGCAGCCGAAAGAGCTTTTCGATAAATGGCTATCCATGGTGCCTGGTGGTCGTATTTGTGATCCCGCTGAATTAAAATCGGTCTGTTTCTCTCATCGTGCTGTGTCTTGTCAACTTTATACTAACCCGCCCAGGCCTATGTTTTTCTTGCTAGCGATGCCTGTTGCTACATGACCGGCGCCAATATGGTTATTGACGGTGGCTACACTCTGCCTTGATAGAAATTCTTCAAGCATATGAAGTGGCGATATACAAGAATACCTTCTAGAGAAGCAGTTTCGGATGAAGTACTGTACTAAAAGCCGTGATATGACCCCTCGGACGAAAGTCTCGCCCATAAATGTTGTGATATACGGAGGCCTTGTTTTACCAGGCACTTTGCATCACTCTTGCTTGCGAGCGCCGTTATAATTAGGTTTGATGCTATCGGCTTCACTTCCGACGCATCGGGTCGATCGCCGTAGCTCACCCGAGGCAGGTGTGATTAAACACGAATTATGACCATACATGTCAAGCACTAGTACAGCTATGGGTATTCTTACCGCCATTCAATATATCAAACCCCTGCTTGTAAGGTAAAATCCTCCCCACAACCGATATCTCGTCATCGGCATAGTTCGCGCAACCCCGCACACAACAGGTTTCCTTAGTATAAAGGTAGACTGGTCACTCCACATTTTAAACTGTCACAGGATGGACCCTGCAGCTTTCATGATTAAATCACAGCAAGCCAAAATCTACTTCTGTTATTAAAAACCTCTTACGAATACCAAAAGCGATCTTCGCAATGCAGGAACCAACGGCCTACAACATCATCCCCACGAAACTAATACCCAACTCCCCCAAACCACTTCTTCATTACAAAAACGCCTTCGTCAGGGAAGGAAAGCTCGACATTGGACTTGCATATGATACCTTTGTGAAAAATGGGTGGGAAATACAATGGGTCACACAATACGCCCGGTGTCAACGGTCGCACTACCACCCTCAACCCACGAAGCGATGGTTGTCGTATCTGGACCGGGTCGAATTCGCTGGGGTGTGGCAGATCTCGATGAAGACGAAGAAAAGCATACTTACGGCGATGCACGTGAAGAGGGTGGGCTTCTGCTGGATGTTAATGTCGGTGATCTATTTGTTATCCCGGCTGGTGTCGCGCATAAGAATTATGACCCTTTTACTACACTTCCACTCGTCAACTGTCTGACTGGTAATGCGCGAGGGATTGAGTCCGATGATCCACGGGAAATGGTACAGGGATTGAAAATGAAAGGGTTCATGATGATGGGTGCTTATCCGCGTGGAGAAAATTGGAGTTGGGGAGATGGTGGGGATTCCCCGGACTTCGTCGCCGTTTGGAACGTGGAAAATCCCGAGTTCGATCCATTTGTTGGGAGTGGTGGGGGGGGTTGGAAAGTATTGGAAGTGATAACTAATAGCGGGAAATGAATTGTTTGATTTTTAGAGTAATTATAATCTCATGTTGAATGGCATTGGAAAGTTACTGTGAGCCTCGTGCCATTTCCTATTTCTGTTTATTCCTGTTTGCGAAAGGATTGCTTCTACTCCGTAAAGCTTCTTGATTTCAGTACTACTAGCAGTAATCAGCTTGATAAATCGCACAACATGACCCTGGCTCTTATCCAAGATTAAAATAAAAACATAGTTTCCTCTATCTATGGCTATGCCCACTGCTGGTTCCAGGGATCATCGTCATTGCTAATCTCACTTTTGCCATGGCCGCGCCAGTGTATGGAGTAACTCATCCGGGTATTACTTTGCTTTCTTTACTATGAAATAATAATTTTCTTTATGTTTAGACTTGGACCGAAAAGAGAACAAAAAGCATCGAGGACTTGGAAAAATGCGGTTATAATCGGCTAGAAACGCTGGTATTTATGCAGAGGTAGAAGCGGAAAGGGGTGGTACATGCAAGTACTTACTAGTTGGAATCAACACGATCCCACAGGCATATAGATCGCAAAGAAAACTAACTTGGGACTGCCTGGTCAGATATTGATTCTAGCTAATTTTCCTCTGCGAGCTGCATCCGTTTGAGATAAACAGAGTTGAGGCTATTCATAAGATCTAAGACGTATATGCGGACAATTATACCGTTCCAGCCGGTAGAAAATCACAAGTTCAAGCCTGGCGATTTGTTTCTAAGGTTCCAAGCAAGATTTCTCCTGAATCCTTTTCTGGTCTTGAACCCCAAATAAAAATGGCCCGAAAACTTGATCCCTGAATTTAACGATATGATTATTTCTCGGCAGTGCCCCTACGAGAAAACCCTCCTCTTTCTTTCAGATTAAGTCCTATTCTTCATATTCTTATCCACGCTGCTCTTGATATCCGTTCGATCTATTCAGACTTGAGTAATCTGTCTATAGCTCTCTATATTGAACAAGATTTTGCAAAAATTCTGTTTCCGACCCGAACAAACACCCGATGAGACCGGATGTGTTTCTTTGTTCTTTTCTCCGCCAGCGGAAGGCATTCGATACCGAAAGCACATTCTAACCGCAAAAGAATTTGCTGGAACACTGACCTTCACAAAAACCCTGTGCTCAACTTGTTTACCTCTACGATTTCGATTTCACTTACGTCTGTCATCGTTCAAAATATAGCCCCAGAAGCAGGCTTCCAACTCAGTCCAATGGGTTCCGTAGGACCGCAGTCAGAATGCAATGCTGGTCAGCTGCTAGGCCTAGCCCTTGAGGGACTCAACATCCCAAGTTCACAATTGGCTGCCAACAAGTTTCATGCACCCATAAACCGGATTTCCCCTGCCATGTGGGGCCACCTTTTCAGGATGGGGCTCAAGCACCAGCCTGGAAAATGTCCGATCACCCCAGGGCTATAGCGCTTGGACAAAAAATGAAAGGAGTCCTTGTGCAAGAACTATTCGTCGATACTGGGCTGAGGTCAGGAAGGCTGATTGATCCCCACATGCTCCATGCACGCGTTAGTGCTGCCTCCAAGGCCCAGTTTAGCCCAGGGAGAGCTGTCTGATGTCTCTGATGTCCGCAGCCCCGCCTGAACCCCACTGAATTCGACTTTGTTGGGAGATTGACGGGGCGCCGTCCCACCCCCGCTTCCTACCCTTCCAAACTCAATCGTCGTGATGCCTACCGTAGCCCCTTGTTTTCTTTTCGTAGGAATGAAGAATTTTGCCGGGGTATGTGAGAAGCTCGGGATAGTTGCTGGAAATTGGACACGCTTGTCTGCCTTAAAAATGCAAGCCACTCAAAATAATGATGGTTAAACCCCATCTGAAGAAGAGAGTCAGGGGTTACAAGGTTTAAGTGAGACTCAAAATTGTGAGCAGAGAATGCAGATTAATTCAACCGTACAGCTTTTGATTCCTTTTTTTCTCGGGGCATACTGTTGTTTAGTCTTGCTTGAGAGGTATTGCCATATGAGAAAATACCACACTAATTTAGGAGAGCAGTATTCGTCATCCCGGCATACAGACTATTGTGAATAAAAGTATTCATGTAATGAGAATTAGCTTGCAGCAATATCGATCGACTGCCATACGTAGGTCATATGTGACACACGGCTACTGCACAAAATAGCACCCAGACGCACAGGTAATTAACGCACCCGCACCTGCACGCCAGAAGCAACGTCTTAGGTCGGAAGACACTCATCCGATTTCCATGTGCTTCGCCACCTCTGACGCACTGGACTACTGACCCCGCACTGTGGGTAATAAGGGAAATCGTGTTCTAGACTGACCCCCTTCGAATCTAGTTCCTGCGTAAAAGGATACTATCTTTATCTTCTTCCTGCCGGGACATTCGGACCGAAGCTGTCTAATCGATAAGCATTCCACCATGACTAAGTAGATCTTTAATAGTTCATCTTCATTCATCTTCATTCTCGCGCCAAAAGATTATGCCATGGGGGTTCTCAGATATTAAAACGAGAGAATTATTAGCTTTGGTAATGCTTTCATAATTACCGCTAAACAGATACATGCCAACCAAAAGGCCACGTTCAAAGAGGTATAGCTTACTTTGCTATACCTGCTTCTATTGATCAATATCAAACCTAGAGGGGCGCGTGGAACCTTTACGACACTACGGTAGGTGATTGACAAAAGCGGGGGTCTACGCGAGGCGCGTGGAAACACGCTAGGACACGGAAACCAGTGGGACCCTCGACATCTCCATGCATAGAAGTGAACCTAAGTATACAGGCCAAGAGAAGTTGGCTGGCTGCGTATTTCCTAAAATCAACTAATTAAAGCGAGTCTCAGGTTATTTATACCATGTCTTACAATACCATTGCGACGTCAGGGCTTTGCTCGTGTCTGTATGAGTGGATATGTTGAAATTCAGCGGAGGAACTGGGTATCGATGAAAAGTCTAGGATTTGAAAGAAAATTATAATTGAGGGAAATAGAAATTATCCAATTATACCTGGAGAAGTCTTGATTTATAGTAATTATTCTACCATGGTCTTCACATGTGGGCAGTATTGGGCTATCCTGGAGCGTCGTGGAACATCTCGGGATCGTAATCCACCGACATCATCGATCGCCGAAACAACATCCCATTGGGAACCTTCTCTCTCGACCCCGCATCTTATGGTATCACGCCATACTCGATATAAATATAAGAGGTAATTGAATTATATAAGGGCGGCAATTGTTATAAGAACGCGGGATCCTCGCCCGTGTGATCCAGTCAGAATCAAACCTAACCCAGCTCCGCAGAACACCGAACCCTTTCTCCTACGCATTCCTACAACTCAATAAAAGGCCTTCAAATATTTCAATAATTAAGACTTGAACAACACCCTCTCACAATGTCTGCCTCCGTGCCACCCACTCAGCTTTACCTTCACCAGGCTCGCGATAGCCCGAGCTCAAAGGAATGCATGGATATCTATGACAAATGGGCCGCAACATACAATGCCGAAGTTGGAGACTCTGCTCAGTCATATGTTGCTCCTGTCCTCGCCGCCCAGGCTGCTATCAAATACAAGGCTGCTAAATCACCCGCTGATAGCGTGATCCTTGATGCGGGCTGTGGAACTGGTCTTGTCGGACAAGCTCTTGCCATCTCAGGAGCACGAGCAATCGATGGCATTGATCTGTCTCAGCCTATGCTAGATATCGCCCGTGATACTGGTGCCTACCGAGACTTGGCCCAGGCTGATATGAATGAGCCAATTGCACAGAAAGACAACACTTACGATATTGTATCATGCGTTGGTACTTTCACTCTCGGTCATGTTGGCCCCGACCCTGCCCTAAGGGAACTCGTCCGCGTTACCAAGCCAAAGGGTATTGTTGTCGCCACAATTCTTCAGCAGATTTGGGTCCCCGGCGGGTTCGAGGCCGAGGTTGAGAAGTTGAAGGCAGAGGGTGTGGTGGATGTTCTTTCCAAGGACTTGATAGATTATGTAAAGGGCCACGGCGACAAAGCAGTGCTGCTTATCATCCAAAAATCCCAGCGCGCCTGAACGAAAGAATCGCCAGACACCTCCCCGCCTAACTATGAAATAATGACGATCCAAGCAAAGCTATTTTCAACAAACCCATGTTTGGATCCGACCCAAAGCGACAGGTTTCAACATACCTCCCCTAACCTACAACCGAGTGCGACATATTAACGATAACCCCCGGCCGGCTGCGTGAAAGCGACTTTATGACCCTTAGAAATACCCATACTAAATGAAATGCCATGGAAACACACACGTAAACGAACGCAAATAGCTAGAATCCCTAACTAATCATAATGAGCGAGTAACTAGATCGTATCAATACTTAGAGACAAATAACTTTCACAATAGATAATCGGCATCTACAAGAACCTTTTATCAACATTTGAATTTGTTCTCCGTTGCTCCCCATCCGGCGGCAAATAGCTTTGCAGACTAAATGCTCGAAATATGCCTTTCCAGTAAAATTAAAGGCTTGCGTTTTTCTTCTGCGTCTCCAAATATTTCTGAGATGTACTCCAGGCTGATAATATACTTAGAAATGACCAATCTCATGCCTTTTTTTCGCAGAAAACTTTCTGCGATTCGGTCACAGGGATCAGTATCCAGCGATCCAAACACCAAACTTTCAATTCGATCCATTTTCAATTAGATTTAATGGAATATTATTTTCGAGGAGTCTTAGGAAATAGCTCACAGGAAAATATTAATCCCTTTCAAGATCCATGAATTGAGAGTAATGAAAGTTGGAGGCTTTTATTGATTAATACTAGTCGTATATGAAATCCGCCAACAGTTGACATACCCCACGACTCTTACTTTGTTTGAAACCGAGTGAAACTTGAAAATCCTCAAAGTTCCAAAAGGCCGATTATTACTGCAATTGTGGAACCGAAGATTGTAATTTATCAATTAACCTCAACGCCAACACCCAGGCTGATAGCAAGGTCCTCTTCATCCTCATCTTGCGTTTAAGCTCCAACATTAGCATTAAC